GCATGTGAAGGGATAACCACGTCATGCCATGAGAAGGGCGTCAGCATCTAATGATTTCAATTAGTTAATAATTTCCTATTAGGTGACTAGAGATGAGTATAGACGTGTCTTACATCACTGAATGTGAGAATTGTTCGAGAGTCAACGTGAATTTTACATTTTAAACCAAAATAGCTCAACTGAAAACAGCTAAATTGTTGATTTTTGGCCTAAAATGTGACTTCACTCTGATTTTTAGATTGCATGCTCTCTCGATCAGGGCCTTTAGCAACCCTTTGTTCCATTTAATATTTGTACTAGTTTGTCTCATTTGCTGTAATATACCCGTATTAAAATTGTAATACGCTGCAGAATACGTTGGTGCCAAATAAATGCTAAGAACTATCAGAATAAAAAGAATAGTTCTCTTTGAATTTCTGACTGTTTATTAATAAGCTTGCCAGCAGTATGTAGCCATGACAATATCATATCTCAATGAAACACAGCGAAGACAGCAGCGAGAGAGAATGGGGAAAGTAAATACCCAGATCTTGTGTTTCTTCCACTAGACAGCCAAGGATGAACCTCCCTCACAACCAACAACCATCTTTAATATATATATGTAGGATGTCGGTCAGATACAGCCATGTAAACCACCTCAGTGGAACAGATATAAGAACGATTATTACAAGAACAAAGGATAATCTATCCCCACAGCACTGACATTTCGTAGAGGAACAAGTTCTCTGATTTGGGATACCTCAGTTATCCTCAGCAGGAAATGTTACAAGAGAAACCCGAAGGTAGAGGCCACACAACATACATAGGCCGTTACATAGATGTTACCCCTTTTCTTGGTGAGCCGTCTCCATCATCTCTTGACTGCTGGACATCACAAGGTGTCTTCATCGAGTTTCTTCTAGTCTTAATTGATTTTTTTTCTAGAGTTACTCATGGATGAGATTGTTAGATTCAGTGTCAACAGTACCCAGTTAACAGTATACTCTATGGGACAGCCATCCAAATAAGGCCCTCCAGCCCCTAAACAGGATAATGAAGGATACGCCCAGGCTGGAGAAGACTCTTTATTTAATGTATTAAATAGTTGGACAATTCTAATACTACTTAGACAATTCTAATACTAATTGGATGATATTAATACTAACTGGACAATTCTAATACTAGCAGGACAGACCTTGGTCATTGAGGGTTTGAGGTCATCAAGACAATGGGTTAGATCTTGCAGTAAAGGTCACCCATGAATGTAATATGACTTCCGAGCAGGGAGACAAACAATTTAAGAAGTTAGTTCTCCATCCTTCCCCTATGGTGGTGATGGGGAAATCCACGCAGAATTGTTTCCGAGGTTTTACTTATTAGATACAAACTTTAATAGCAAATAAAAAGAAAATACATTTAAATTGCACGTAAAAAAATAAAATAAAAAACAACTATATATATAAAAAGCAAAACTGTCAGATGTGGGTTTTTGTCTTAACCTGTGCCCCTGGTAGACTGATGACCTTGACTGTGTTTATTCTATGAGTGCTCTCGCTTTGTTCATGATAGTGGACCATTCATATAATGTGATTAAATGCCCCATTTCTTTCTTACATAAGTTCTAATACGTTTCCGTGTTGTGAGTATGTGAATTGATTTCCTTGTGGGTGAATGAATACATTCAGATACACAGCCAGTCTGATGCAGTTCTATTTTAAACAAAGGCTGTTGCTGAAGAAATAAATGTGCCCAGGAATTGTCTTCCAGATGTGATTAGACAGTAGGGATCTCTGCTTTTCATAGTTCGTGAGTCTGGTATAGGACAATACACAGTGATTCCAGAGTTATGCAATCCAGATACACAGACTGAAAGCGGAACAATGCTGTTATCTTAAATGTCCTCACAGGGAGAGGAGAGTGTGAAAGAATGTCAAGGTTATTGATATATTGTATATCCTGACTTACCCGCTCGCTCTGAGTGTGGCCATCAATAAGTCCTCTTTGGTCAGAAGTACAGTTTATCTGACCAAAGACTTTATAAGTAATCACATTCTGACATAGTGCATATTACATGCAATCTTTTATTTTAAGTAATTATAAAAAATGGTGAAAGTTTTCCTTTAAACCGGGAATTATTTACAACTTGAGGAATAACGATTGGAGGACATGGAAGCAGCAGGATATTGATCGTCTTAATATAAAATATACATTAGTTGCTGGAGTTGCAAGGCACCAGCAGTGCCCTTATCAAGACTTCGTGCGAGATTAAAGTATGTTGGGAGTTGCCACAAACATAGCAATCTTACAAAACAAACCTCTTAAAGTGACTTTTATGATTAACTATAAACCTTTAAGAACAGTGTTAGCGACTGCTTACAATATCAAAACACTGGGAAACGCTACAGAAACATGCAGCATAACATCTGATTTGGCCAATAAATGAGATGATGGTAGGGAGATCCCAAGGGGTTGTGTTTGTATGATGTCTACATTTAAATACATTTTCATGAAACATTTAAATCAAATGTTCGAATCTCAAAGTTAAGGCAGTTAAGCATTATTTAGCATTTTTGTTCTATTAAAATCTATTAATGGACTGGAGTACTTGAATTAATTATTATGCCATGGCTGACTGTGACAGGACTAGGCTAATAGGACTGAAAAAAGACTATGGATCGTCCGCCCTTGTTGTTGGACTTGAACACTATTGAGCTTGACCTGCATTACTGAAAGGACTGAGAAAGAAGTGGACACACTGGAAGGGGTCTGAGCTGTCCGGAACATGAGATATGACCAATACAGTAATGCAGTTCCAGATACATCAAGTGGGACAGCATGCACAGCCAACTTTCTAGACAACGTGTGATTGCACTTCTACGGTTGATAAGTAAAATTACAAAACCCTTATTGTGACGTTTTATGGAATTAAATCTAATACTTTGCACACATGCACAGCAGTATTTAAGCCAATCTGCGTGGTGGTGACTGGCTCTGAACTCCCTGAAGTCAGCCCACCGTACATGGCACGTGTTACCACATGGCAAAGAGAAAGCGTAGTGGGTACCCGGGATGTCCGCAGAGCGCCGGTAGGTAGTTGGACAATGTTTTGACAGTTGAGTATTCACTGTTGATTTAATATAGATAAATATAAATAGGTATCTTCTCACTGTGATTCACATACACAGCATCAGGCCGGGAAGAGGCTCTCATTGTCTGAGAGCGATCAGCTCAGGAGAGCTAACAGACATAATGTGTGAGATTATCAGGCAATTACAAAGAATCCTATTCACTATGTATGAATCACTACTAGAAGTAGTTTTCCTGACCTTGGCTCGTGACTGTTTATTCTATTACGTTAAATCTTTCTAAGGCCCGGTAATATGTTATGGTTTGTCTTTGATATGTGTTTTACTTAATTCTGCGTGTTGGGCCACTGGTTCGTCCTGACATTACAACAGGGTCATGGACCCTGCAGAATTAAGTCAACACATGTTGGCTTGCGAAAGAGGGCTGGAAGATAATGATAATGGATCAATTCGCCCAGACCTTTCAGACATTGTTGGCCCGTACTGCTCACCTTCAACGGGAGGATCAACGACCTCCTCCAGCCCCTCCTGTTGCTGTTGTACCCATAGTATACAAGGCTCATTCTATATCCCTCTCACCACCCCCTCATTTCGGTGGTAATGCTCAGGAATGCAGTGGTTTTCTTAACCAAATCGAGTACCACTTTGAGGCATCCCACGGCTTCCTTCCTTCCGATAGATCCAAGATTGGTTATCTGATGAATCAGTTGATAGGGAATTATCAAGACTTACAGTGGTCAGGCCTGCTGCAAAAACCCTCTGAGAGGTGAGCAGAATTGTGGCAAAAGAACAAGCTTAAATTAGACACAACAGAAGTCACAGCAGAGGCACGACAAGCCAGCTCAGGATAAAATAGGTACGCAGACTAGTCAAGGGACAAGACTGGGAAATCAAGTAGCTATCGGTTATACAGATCCACAAAAGGGCAAGGAACACTGGTAAAAGTTAGCTTGCATCAATCCTGCTACACCAGAATGATGTCTGCTTGCGTCACAGTGCATCCAAAATAACGCACATAGAAGGGTGAAAGGAAGTATTCTGGATAATAGTGACTAGCCCTGCTATGGTAACTGATCCCGATAATAGTAACTAGTCCTGCTATAGTAACTGATCCCAATAATAGTAACTAGTCCTGCTATAGTAACTGATCCCGATAATAGTGACTAACCCTGCTCTAGTAACTGATCCCGATAATAGTAACTAGCCCTGCTATAGTAACTGATCCCAATAACTTTATTCACACATTTGTAATTGTAATTGTAGCTGATATTTCATTATATTATTGTTATATTATTATCATTATCATTATAATACACAGCCCAATCAGAGAGAGTAGGAGGGATATGTGAGACAGCTCAGCTTATATTATATTATTATTTTATTATTATTATAATACTTTGCCCATAGGGAGGGAGTCAGGAAAGGAGGTGTATAATAGCTCAATATAATAGCTCAGCTTATATTAAATTTTTATTATATTATTATATAAGTGAATAAAGTCTCTTAGGACGTCATTAATAAATTCCTGAAATACTGCTGGGGCATTGCAAAGACCAAATGGCATAACAGTATACACGTAATGACCGGATCTAGTGTTGAATGCAGTCTTCCATTCGTGACCTTCCTTTATGCGTATTAAATTATATGCACCTCTAAGGTCCAATTTGGTGAACACAGTAGCATGTTTCAGCCTGTCAAATAATTCTGTAATTAAAGGTATAGGGTATGCATTTTTGATAGTGATTTTGTTTAGACCTCTATAATCGATGCACGGTCTTAAATCACTCTCTTTCTTAGATACAAAGAAAAACCCTGCTCCAGCCGGAAAAGAGGATCTCCTAATGAACCCCTTTTCTAGCGATTATTTAACATACTCCTCCATAATACGGTTTTCTTGAATAGATAAAGGGTACACCCTGCCCTTTGGAGGTATAGTGCCAGGCAATAAATCGATAGCACAATCATAGGATCTGTGAGGCGGTAATTTATCAGCTTCCCTTTTATCGAATACAGTTTTGAGAAACAAGTACTGAGGAGGTATAAAAGTAGACAAAGGAGGAGTAGTAGGAACATTAATGGTATTTAAAGGGGTGACTTTAATCATACAAGAGTCGTGGCAGGTTTTACCCCATGATTTTAATTGTCCCAATTCCCAGTCGAAAATGGGATTGTGAGAACATAACCATGGGTACCCTAACACGATATGAGAAGAGGGAGAGGTGATAACCTGAAACCGAATGGTCTCAAAGTGTAAAACCACTGTGTACATGAATAATGGTACAGTTTCATGGGTAACGACTGGAGTATTTAAAGGTCTACCATCTATGGCCTCAATGGCCAAGGGTATCTCCCTCTCTCTGACGGGAATGTTATTTTTCGTAACAAACTCAGAGTCAATGAAGTTCTCAGCAGCCCCGGAATCAACCAAGGCTAGTATGCTTTCAGCTATACAACTCTCTCCCGTATGAAGGGAAACAGGGAGAAGCAAACGGTTAGGAGGCAATTTAGGAGACTTAGATATCACACCCAAGGCCAGTCCCCTATAAGGTCTTAGGTGCGAGAGTTTTCCGGAAGCAAAGGACATTCTTTTACCATATGGTCTCGCCTACCACAGTATAGGCAGAGTCCGTTCCTTCTTCTAAGTAATTTTTCAGTATCCGAGAGTTTGGCAACCCCTAATTGCATGGGTTCCTCTTTGGATACTTTAACACTCTCAGGTTTATCAACTCTGGGGTTAGTAGGTGTGACCACACGTCTATTCCTGTTCTTGGTATAGAGCCTGTCACGAATCCTATTATCTATATCAGTGAGGTAGTCAATAAGGTCCTCTAATGGAATAGGAAGCTCCCTTGCCGCTACCTCATCTAATATAGTGTCAGATAAACCTTCCATGAACGCAGTAGTTAACCCATTATTGGTCCAATCTACCTGTGAAGCAAGGGTACGAAACTGAATAGCATAATCAGCCACAGACCTAGAACCCTGTTTAATTCTCATTAATGCTCTTGCGGCATTCTTTGACCTTTTTGTTGTGTCAAAAGTTCTACGAAAAGCCGTAAGAAAGCTATTGAAATTATGCACCATAGGTCCATTGGCCTCCCAAATAGGATTAGTCCACTCAAGTGCTTTGTCAGTAAGTTGATGCATCAAAAACCCCACTTTAGACCTGTCAGTGGGAAAGGAATGTGGATACATCTCAAGGTGGAATTCTATTTGATTAATAAAACCTCTGCATGTGTTAGCTTCCCCTCCATACCTAAGAGGGGGTGTTAAATGGGGCGAAGTATTAGGTGAACTGGATACTTCGGGAGGATGAGGTGTAGGAGGGTTAGGTGCGGTTGCAGGAATAGTTCTAGACAAGAGCGTCTGGAGAGCCTGTGCTATCTGATCCATACGGTGAACCTGCTCTACAAACCTTGCCTCGTGAGAAGCCATTTGCTGAGCCAAATCTGCGGGGTCCATGGCCCTATCGTAATGTAACGAGAATATACCCCAACACGCAGGATTCAGCTAAACAGAAGACAACACAGAGGAGAGATACGTCTACCGGACCTTAGAATGGCCGGACTTGACGTATATGAGAGGAGGCAGAGTCAGGAACGATCCGAAGTCAAGGGCACAGAGTGACAGCGTAAACTAGGACTAGCCGGGGTCTGGTACACAGTAAACAGCAAGCCGACAACCAGAACAGATAAGGATAAAGAGAAAACGTAGTCAGAAACAAAGCTAAAGTCAATACGAAGAAAACACAACTGAACACAACAAGCGCTAAAGGGAACTGAAACAGAAACCACGATAGGGCAGGGAGTAAAGGGAGAGGTAAGTTTAAATAGCTTCTAAACTAATTTGATTGGCTCCTGTCATATCCACACCCCCAAAAGGTAAGTGTATGGGGAGTGTGGCATGACAGGGGCCAATGGGAGCCTTTTAACAATTTAGGCTCCCACTGTCTCTTTAAGAGCGCGCCCGAGACTTGCGGCGTGCTCTTAGATTCAGGCGGGACACGTGACCGCTTCTCGCGGTCACTGCCCGCCTTCCTATTGAAGCCGTCGGATGAGCCACGCGCGGCTCGTGCAGCAGCAGGACCGCGCGCGGCTCGAATAGAGGACCGCGGCCGGCCCCTGGATAAGGTAAGAAACACTACACACACACACAGGCAGACAACCACACATAGTTACCTCTGTTCATTATGGAGGAGTGGAGGCAGTGCAGCTCCTGTAGACTTGTTGTTGGGGAAGCAGAGACTCCTTCCTGCTTCCCCTGCAGCAGTTACCCGGAACTTTTAGCTCCGCCCCTGCCATCAGTTAAGCTCCACCCCGCCACGATATTGTTGTTGGTTTTTTTTTTTTTAATATAATCCCGGCCGGCCATGTGTGAGCTGTGTCGGCCGCATGGCGACCCCTGCTCCCATGGCGCCCTGTGTGGCCGCACAGCTCGCATACCCCTAAATCTGGCCCCGTCCATAGCAATGTGGGACCAAGTTTTTTCTGGGACAGGAAGTGGCTGTAAGAGACCACAAGGTAGTTTATGGGGTGTTTTGATCATAGCACAAACAGTACATTATAAACCATATAACATATCCAATACACCCCAAAGTGACAGTATATGGAAAAAACTACTTAACTTAGTAGTACAGCTTCCCAAGGTCCCTTCCTTGATGGTGATCTCACACAGATATAAAAGTATACAGAAAATGGGATACAGCTGGATATCTAAAACAAAAAATAACAAATAATAGGGTAACACTGTTGGAGGTTTGCTATGCCCCCACTTAATATGGAACTCACAGACTCCAGATGAAAAGAACGCATTAAGGTTGCCTTCCCACCAGGGGAGGTCTGGTCTCTCAGTCAGAATGGTGCTTTTGGATCCAAATCAGGAATCAGGTAGGTAGGTAAAAAAATGCTTTATTACAAATAAATTGAAAAAATAGATATGTTAAAATTGGTGGTATTTCACCGGTCCTACGCGTTTCGTTTCCATGGAAACTTCCTCAGACACTACCTTTTATACAATCATAAAAACATAAAAAATATGTCTAACAATTTCATGTCCTACCCTTCCCTTTCCACCCCCTTCTTAAATCCTGATCCCGTCTGTTGTGTTTGTGGGTGTTGTCTTCTAATTTACCAATCTCTGGAGCTTGTTGATCCTTCACACCGCTGATCGTAATCCTCTTAAATCTCCGTCGTGTATTCCTCCATGTGGCTGCTACACTTCTGGCTTGTGTTCCATTTTGTGCGAGAGATGTTACTCAATAGCCAACAATATTTTTACTTGTTTTAAACCTTAAGTTAAATTATACTCTATCTATTTTATGTATTTTTTTTTGTTTTACTTTTTTATTACAGTGACCCCATATGGTAAATCGAAATTCATAGAGTAAGGAAATTGCCCACTTTGAAATAATCATATGAATCCATATTTCTTTACAGAAAAATTAATAAATAATAAGCCCCAAAATAGGCTCCTAATGACAAAAATATTCGTTCTGATAGGCAAAAAACTTAACATTTCGGTAATAGATAAATAACAATAATAATGAAATTAAGAATAAAAATAAATATAAATCTGAAAATAAAAATAATAAAAAAATAATAGATAATAAATAATAATAAATATCAAAAATATATATAAAAATAAATGAAAATAAATATGAATATAAAAATAATAAAAATAAATATAAAAATGAAAATAATGATAAAAATATATAAAACTATAAAAATATTGGACTTTATAGAGTTTATCCCACTGATAATGGGCTCTCTGGGGCGCAACATAAACATTTGTGCAACTTTGGTAAATAATAAAAAAAAATTGGTATGACTAGGTAATTTTGCAATAAGAAATCTAAATTTTGATTTGTAATGATATTGTCTTCTCTAGCTTTCTTCAAGATAGATAACTGGAGATTAAATTCTTGAGTTGGATCTTTTTAAAGAATTTTATAGGCCGACTTAGGGATAGCATCCTCGGCCAGGGGGATCTGCCAATAACCTTTACACAGATCAATGGTGGTCAGGTAGCGCCCCCTGGCAATGCGGTCTAATAACTCGTCTACCCGGGGCATAGGGTAGGCGTCAGTGGTGGTCCGTTCGTTGAGCCGCCTGTAGTCCACGCAGAACCTGGTGGTCCCATCTTTCTTAGGCACCAGAACTACAGGCGAGGCCCAAGGGCTGTCCGAATGTTCGATAACCCCTAGCCTGGTCATCTCCTGTATTTCCTTCCGCATTCCTTCTCGGACTGCTTCAGGAGTACGGTATGGGGGTTGTCGTAGGGGGTTCTGTCCGGGTGTCTCGACCTTGTGTACAGCTAGGGTAGTGTACCCGGGTTCTTGGGAGAACGTCGCCTGCTTCTCCCACAGTAACTGTCTCGCCTGTACCTTCTCTGCCGGGTTTAGCCGGTCCCCTAGCTGTACAAGACTAGTAAGGTCTGTCTGGGGGTCCCTCTCTAGCAAGTCAGGTAACGGTAAGTTCTCGGGGTCGTCAGAAGCTGGGGCACATACTGCCGCAACATCCTCTGGTCGTTCTTGATACTCCTTCAGCATGTTCACATGGAAGGATCGCTGAATCCTTTCATCTGAACAGCTGGCTATAAGGTAGGTAGTATCACATACCTGAGCTAACACTTTATACGGGCCCTGCCAAGATGCTTGCATCTTGTTTGTCTTCACAGGCTTGAGTACCAGAACCTTCTGTCCAACCTGGAAGACCCGCTGTCGGGCACCCCGATCGTACCACCGTTTCTGTCTCCCCTGGGCCGCCTGGAGATTCTCCCTGACCATCAGGGATAGTTTCTCCATGCGGTCCCGGAGTTCCAGGACATATGGTACTATGGGAGTCCCTTCTTGCTCTGTCTCCCCCTCCCAGTGTCCTCTAATGAGATCTAGGGGTCCACGGACCCTTCTCCCATAGAGTAACTCAAAGAACCCAGTAGATTCCTGGGGCACCTCTCTGTATGCAAATAGCAGATGAGGCAGGAATCGCTCCCAATCTCTGCAAGTGTCAGTAAAGCTCCTCAACATCTGTTTGAGGGTGCCATTAAATCGCTCGCAGAGACCGTTAGTCTGTGGGTGATAAGGTGAGCTAAGCAGGGGTTTAATACCGCACACCTTCCACAGCTGCTGGGTAAGCACAGCGGTGAACTTGGTTCCCTGATCGGAGAGAATCTCCTGAGGGAACCCGACCCTAGTGAAGATTTTAACCAGGGCATCAGCAACCGTCTCTGCCTCTATATTAGACAGCGCTACTGCCTCTGGATAACGTGTGGCATAGTCCACCATGGTGAGAATATACTTCTTACCGGATGGACTAGCCCTGGCCAGTGGACCCACAATGTCAACGGCTATGCGGGAAAAGGGTTCTCCAATGATAGGCATCGACTGAAGCCTAGCTTTTGGGTGATCCCCCCGCTTACCTACCCGTTGACAAGTGTCACACGTGCTGCAATAAACCCGCACATCTCGGTTAAAATTGGGCCAGAAGAAATTTTGTGTGATCCTATGAGCTGTGCGGCGGGAACCTAGATGGCCGGCTAATGGCACATCATGCCCAATCCGCAGAATCTCCTGCCGGTATTTTGCGGGCACCACTAGCTGTCGATTCTGCGGAGGGGTATTCGGCTTCTGGGGCGGTTTCGGGATCCTGTATAGTCTATCCCCCACCCACTCGTAGTGCTCCCCATCTACTCCTTCTCCCCCAGAATCGGCCCTGGCCCTGTACTTGGCTAGCGTCGGGTCTTCCCTGGTTTCCTTCCCGTACATCTCTGGGGTATCCCAGCCTAAAGGGGCCTGGTCTAAGGTACAAGTCGGGGGAGAGAGTCTTACCTGGGTCTCAGCAGCAGGTGGGCCGGTCTCGGCGGCACGGGTCTGGGCACGGGTCGTGACAGCATCCACTTCAGCAGGACCCATGGGAGCAAAGGCGGAAACAAGGGGCGCCAAGTCATTGCCAAGGAGAACATCCGCTGGTAAGTCCTTCATGACCCCCACATTCACATGTCTAGCGCCCACTCCCCAATCCAAATGTACCCGGGCAACGGGCAGACGGAACACGGCACCTCCAGCTACTCGTACGGCGACCGTGTCCCCTGTATGTTGGGCTTCGGATACCAGGTGCTTCTGGAGCAAGGTCATGGTTGTCCTGGTATCTCGTAGACCACTGACCTCCTTCCCGTTTACTTTCACACACTGCCGGTGATGCTGTCGGTTATCCCGGTGGGCAGCCTGAACGGGGTCTGCCTCGTGCAGGATGCCCCAGCACTCTTCTTCCTCTACACAGTGAGCGGCCGGGAGGGGAGGTCGGGGACACCCGCTTGCTGGTCTCCTCCAGGACTGGTTCTGGTTGGCGCCGTTCATCGGGCACTCGGGACGTTTGTGCCCCAGCTGTTTGCACAGGTAGCACCGAATGGGTTGCGTGTACTCCCGTGCATTAAACCTAGGTGGCTGTTGGTACGGGGCAGATGGAGGAGGTGCTGATGGGCGAGTCATGGGAGGCTGGTATAGGTTGGCTGGTGCTGGTGCTGCTGGCCTGTACTCCACTCTGGCGGGAGCCTTACTGATGAGACTGTCCAGTTTGCGGGCATCGGTATACTCATCCGCCAGGCGAGCTGCTTCGTGCAAAGTGGAGTGTTTACGGTCCCTTACCCACTCTCTGACCCCTGCTGGTAATTTGTCAAAACAATGTTCTAAGAGGAACATCTGCAGCACCTCTTCCCCGGACACAGCCTGGCACCCCGCCATCCAGTGAGCAGCTGTGCGGTGCACCTTGCATGCCCATTCCACATATGAGTCCCCAGAGGTTTTAACAGTGTCTCGGAACCTCCTCCGGTACGCCTCAGGTGTAACAGCATACCGGGAGAGTAAAGCTTCCCTGATGGCCCCATAATCCCCAATCTCCTCATCCGGAATGGCCCGAAAAGACTCGCTGGCCCGGCCGGATAACTTGCCCGACAGTATAGTAACCCAGTCTTCCAGGGGTACCTTGTGCAGGGCACATTGCCGCTCAAAATCAGCAAGGTACCCATCAATTTCTCCTTCGGTCTCACTGAAGGCTTTAAATGCTGTAAATGGTACCTTTTTCCTATCTCCCGGGTTTGCTGTGACTGGGGCTGCTGCAGCACCGCTTTGGCATAGCAGGTTGGCCTCCACAGCGGCTATGACCTGGGTGACAGGCTCAGTAGTTGGGTTGGGACCATAATGGGCCAGCCTGATTCTTACCGCCCGGTCGAAGCTTGCCTCCTCGGGGGTTCTGTCAGCTGTGCTGGGTTCATTGGTTCCCTCTGCCGCTGGTACTCCATCCATTTCCAGTAATAGCGCAATAATATCCCTCTTCCTGAGGTTACTGGCTTGTCCGCCTCTTTGCTCTAATAAATCCTTTAGGGTAGCTCTTCTCAGGTTCTGGTATTGTAGTTCCATTTAATCCTGGTTGTAGTGGTTTCTTTGGGCGCTGAGGATCATCCCGTCGCTTGCCACCAGTTGTTACGGTACCTCCAGTAGTAAAATGTACAAACCGCTGTTTAGCGAGTATTCCCCGTTCGCAATAATGTGGTCGGGTAGCGGGTATAATAAAACCATCCGAACCGCCAGCCAGGGAACACTCCAAACTCCCGAACGGTACCTGTACGGCTAACTCCCTTCTCGAGCTGCAAATCCACGAACGGCAAATAGTAACCGAACGTCAATAACTCCCAAGCGGCAAATAATCCAAATAAGTAGTCGCTAGTCGCTGGTAACCAAATCCCCCCAATAACGAGACCAAGCTCCGCTTTGAGGGTAAAACACGAACTCATTTACTGTGGGCTACCTGCCTGGTATTTATGCAGGTCTCCCACTTGGTGGACACTCCCCTAGAGGACCAAATGGGAGACTGAAATTACAGAAGGACATGGGGACATTTTGGACATACATCCCCACAATATTCCCAGCATGCAGTACAGTTCCCTCCCCTCTGCTCGGGGGATAATTGGGAAGTAACTCAATTATCTCCCCGAGCAGAGGCAATCGCCATTTTAAACACAAGTCACAAAAACAAGGGGCGCCAAGTCATTGCCAAGGAGAACATCCGCTGAAAATCCATAACTTCATAACTGCCGAACATATTACATTCGTATTGCATATCCCCAGATAGCCTGGATCTGAGTGCACATTATTGGAGAATAGCGCTCAGATCCCATTCGCATAGTTCAATCGCCATGGAGTCAAAGTCTCTTTCAGTTCTTCAGTATGCGATTGACTCCATGGGACGGCTATCTGGGTTAAGTCCATTCGTGTGGTTGAATCTCCCGAACGGCTGGCATTCGTATACTTTTGTCGATTGAGAAGGGGAGGTCGACGGCTTCAGCGGTGTTCGGCTGAAAAAGTGTCCGTTTTCAGATCCATGAAATAATCGTCGAACACCGCTGGTCTTTCGCATGGACAAAATGGCCGCCGCCTCGTGGTCGACATACGAACGACGACCACCCGGCATTCGGTTTTAATTGAGAAGTGTCTGTGGTTAACCGCAACGTTCTTATTGGGATCAATAGGTTAACCAGCAGCACACTTCTCTTCTGGGTAGCCGTCCGTTCGGTAGTTCCGTTCGACAAAACCGACATTCCCTTGAATAAAGCATACGAATGGGGAAATTCATGTAACCGGCAAAACAGGCGAACAAAGCATTTGTAATCCAGACAGATGGGTCTGTCACAGTTATGTATTTAAATGTGAAATGCCGGTTCTGCTGCACGGAGGGATAATACACTTAACGGTATATTCCAGTGGGAGGATCCCTCTCATGCAGCAGTGCCTGATGGGAGAAATGCTCTGTACATTGTTTCCCATGTAGTCCACTCCTGTAATACCCCTGTGAAAACCCCTTGCATGGGGAATTGTATAAATACTGGAGCATGTGAATAGTTGACTCCCAGAACTGTGTTTCATCCGGATACTGGGGGATTTGGGATATTGCCTTGCTTTTCAGCACTTGACTGTGGATTACCTTCTTAACCAGTGGAGATCGTGGGATTTAATATTGCAGCTCTGCTACATACAGCACAGACCCCCAAAAATAAATTGCACAGTCCCAGTGGTGTCGCTGGGGGGGGCAGAGGGGGCCATGGCCTCCCTATATCATGTCATCCCTTTGGCCCCCCAAATGCCAGCAACTTGCTGGCCATGGGCTTCAATTATATTCCCTCGGACTGTAACTGTGTGTGACAGCCCGAGGGAATTCAGGACTGAGGTGCTGGGGCTGTCTGTGGCTGGAGGGAGCACTGACAGGCTCCCTGGCACAGGCCCCGCCCCCATCGTTATGCAGCAGACCATGCTGCTGCAGAAGATGGCTGCCTGACCCCCAGCAACAGCCTCCAGTGACAGGTAGGCGTGTGTGTGTATGTGTGTATGTATGTATGGACATGGCAGTGTGTGTGTGTGTGTGTGTGTGTGTGCCCCCCATACACACACACTGCCCCCCCACACACACACTGCCCCCATACACACACACTGCAGCCCCACACTCACACACACACACTGCAACTGTTACACACACATACTGTCCCACACATATACTGCATCCCTGACATACACTGCCGCCCTCACTCACACACTACAACCTTCAAACACACACACTGCTCACACACTGCACCCCTTACACATTGCACCACTCACACACACCACTAATAATAATATAATAATAATATAATAATATAATAATAATGTGAGCTGTCTCACACCTCCTCTCTCCCTCTCTCTCTCTGGCTGAGCTGTGTATAATAATAATAATAATAATATAATTATTATTATGATATTTTTAGAGCACGGTCAAATTCCGCAGCGCTTTACAATGGGTGGACGAACAGACATGTAGTTGTAACCAGACAAGTTGGACACACAGGAACAGAGGGGTTTAGGGCCCTGCTCAATGAGCTTATATGCTAGAGGGAGTGGGGTAAAATGACACAGAAAGGTAAGGATAGTATTAGACTAATGACAGTTGTAGAAGAGGAATCAGTCAGGAGCTATTAACAGTTTAAGTGATACACTTTTATGAAGAAGTGGGTTTTTAATGATTTTTTGAAGGAATGGAGACTGGGTGAGCATCTAACAGAGGAGGGAAGCGAGTTCCACAGGAACGGTGCAACCCTCGAGAAATCTTGAAGGCGAGCATCAGAGGTGGGAGTACGGACAGAAGATAGACGTAAGCCTTCAGCAGATCGTAAGGGCCTAGACGGGACATACTTGTGTATAAGGGAGGATAGATAGGTGGAAGCAGCATTATGTAGCGATTTGAAAGCAAGAACCAGAATTTTAAATTCTAGGAAGCCAGTGTAGGGATTGACAGAAGGGTGAGGAATGGGAGGTGCGGGCGGACAGAAAGATGAGCCTTGCAGCCGCATTCATTATGGACTGTAACGGTGCTAGTTGGGAGCACGTAAGACCACTGAGAAGCGGATTACAGTAGTCAAGGCGAGAAAGGACAGTGGAATGGACCAACACCTTAGTCGCATCTGGCGTTAAGTAGGGGCGGATGCGCGCAATGTTTTTTAGATTGAAATGACAGGATTTGGCGATAGATTGAACATGAGGCTTGAAGGAGAGGTCGGAGTCAAAGAGAACACCTAGGCAGCGAGCCTGCGTGGTGGAGCTGATGGTAGAACCGTTGACTTGGAGGGAGGCAGACACAGGAGTAACAACACTCGAGGGAGGAAAGACCAGAATTTCAGTTTTGGTCAAGTTTAGTTTAAGGAAGTGGGCAGCCATCCAGTTAGAAACAGCAGAGAGGCAGTCAGAGACACTAGTCAAGAGGGACGGGAGAGATCAGGAGAGGACAGGTAGATTTGCGTGTCATCTGCATAGAAATTATATTGGAAGCCAAAGGAGCTAATGAGTTTACCAAGGGAGGCAGTATAGATGGAGAACAGTAGGGGACCAAGGACTGAACCTTGGGGGACACCAACAGAGAGGAGTTGGGGATAAGAAGCAGAGCCAGAGAAAGAAACACTGAAAGAGCGCTGGGAGAGGTAGGAGGAGCACCAGGAGAGAGCAGTATCTTGTAGACCGATATTGCAGAGGATGAGAAGAAGCTGTTGATGATCAACAGTGTCAAAAGCCGCAAGCAGGTCAAGGAGAATTAGGATACAGAAGTGACCACGAGATTTTGCAGCGAGTAGATCATTGGATACTTTGATCAGTGCCGTTTCCACAGAGTGCTTAGCGCGGAAACCAGACTGAAGCGGGTCTAGCAGAGAGTTGGACTCGAGGAAGTCTGTCAATCTCGCATACACAATTTTTTCAAGGATCTTGGATGCAAAAGGCAGTAGCGAGATAGGACGATAGTTGGATGGGGAGTTAGGGTCAAGATTGGGCTTCTTTAGAATTGGGGTTACAGTTGCATGTTTGAAGGGCAATGGAAATATACCAGAGGAGAGAGAGAGATTGAGGATTTTAGTGAGAGGTGGAGAAGGAGAAGAAGACAGAGTACGGATGAGATGCAAGGGAATTGGATCTAGGGAGCAGGTGGTGGGGCTGGAGGACTGGAGCAGAGCAGAAACTTCTTCCAATGTAGCAGGTGTGAATGAACATAGAACGGCAGAAGGAGTGAAGTTAGGGGAAATATTGTAAGAGGAAGAAGAAAGATGAGATATCTCTTCTCTGATTGTAGAGATCTTGTCAGTGAAGTGAGTTGCAAAGTCTGAGGCGGTCAAGTTAGTAGGTGGAGGAGGAACAGCAGGGGGAAGAAGAGAATTAAATGTGTGAAATAGTCATTTGGGTTCACGGGAGAGTGTGGTAATGCGGGTATTGAAGTAATTAACTTTTGCAGAGGAAAGAGCCAAGCTGTATGAGCTCAGCATAAATTTATAGTGGAGAAAGTCAGATGCACAGTGAGACTTTCTCCAACAGCATTCAGCAGTTCTGGAGCATTTTTGGAGGTATCGAGTGAGCTTGGTGTGCCAGGGTTGTTGTTGGGGGGGCCTGAGGCGTTTAAATGTACAAGGTGCCATGATGTCTAGTTGAGAGGAGAGGGTGGAATTGTAGAAGGAGGTTGCAGAACTAGGACAGGTGAGGTTTGAGATAGGTAAAATGAGAGTTTGGAGATTAGTGGAGAAATGCTCTAGGTCAAGACATTGGAGGTTTCTGTGAGATTGATGTTCAGACGGTGGTGTCAATTGGGTCTTAGGGATGCCAATGTCAAAAGTCAGCAGATGGTGGTCAGATAGAGGAAGGGGAATATTGTAGAGTTTAGAGGCAGTACAGAGGTTGGTGAAGGCAAGATCAAGAGTGTTTCCCGCTGTATGGGTTGCTAGATTGGACCATTGCGTAAGGCCAAAGGAGGAGGTTACAGAAAGCAGACGAGAGGCATCAGTGCAATTGGGGTTATTGATTGGGATATTGAAATCCCCAAGTATAAGGGAAGGAGTGCTAGATGACAGAACGTGGGGAAGCCAGGAAGAAAAGTGCTCAATGAATAGTCTAGGATAACCGGGGGGGGGGGGCGGTAGATAATAGCAATTCTTAAAGGAGTGGGTTTAAATAGGCGGACAGTGTGAACTTCAGAAGAAGAAAAGGATAGGGCAGGGGGAGTTATGATTGGCTGAAAGGTACATTGAGGGGAGAGAAGGATGCCTACGCCGCCTCCTTTACAGTTGAGTCTGGGAGTGTGAGAGAATTCTATTATTATTATTATTATATAATATAATAATAATAATAATAAAATAATAATATAATAATAATACTATAATAATAATACTATAATAATATAATAATAATAATATAATAATAATATAATAATAATAATAATATAATAATAATATAATAATAAAATAATAATAATAATAATGTAGTAATATAATAATATCTCTCTCTCTCTGGCTGGGCTGTGTATTATAATAATATAATAATAATATAATAATAATATAATAATATAATAATAATGTAGTAATATAATAATAATGTAGTAATATAATAATAATAATATAATAATAATATAATAATATAATAATAATATAATAATAATATAATAATATAATAATAATAATATAATAATAATGTAGTAATATAATAATAATATAATAATAATATAATAATATAATAATAATATAATAATATAATAATAATGTAGTAATATAATAATAATGTAGTAATATAATAATAATATAATAATAATATAATAATATAATAATAATATAATAATATAATAATAATGTAGTAATATAATAATAATAATATCTCTCTCTCTCTCTCTCTCTCTCTCTCTCTCTCTCTGGCTGGGCTGTGTATTTCCCCTTACCATGATACGTCACACATTACGTCACACGTTTCGTCACGTGCGGTGTGCCCGGATGACGCAGCACGCTGGGGGACGTTGTGGGGGAGCGGGGCTCTGTAAGTGACGCTGTGAAGAGACAGTGGGTGGGACTTAGCGCATGACAGCCGTTGTTGACCCGCCCATTCTGTGACGGAGCTGCTGGAGGGGGCGTGGTTAGAACGGCCGTGTGATGGGTGACGTCCCGCCCATACACTGGACGTGTTACGAGGAAGGCCCCGCCCACCCAGTGACAGAGCCAGAGGGAGGAGGCGGGGTCAGAGCGCAGACCGGAAGTGTGATTAATAAGGCGGCTGGCACTTCCTGTTCGCTGGATGTGGAGACTGGACGGGGACAGACAGACAGACACGGCGGCAACCACGACGGAGCCTTAACGGAGCCACCGCCGGACCGGTAAGGGTCTCTTTCTCCGCCCTCCCCGCACACAGCCCGGGGACCGTCACCTACCGCCCGGGAGCCACCACCTACCGCCCGGGAGCGGGCAGGCCGGGAGCTAGCTGAGCTAATATTACCGGGTCAGACCCCCTCCCGCCCTCCCCGGGGGGCACCCTGCCCGCACACCGACCACCACTTACACCTACCGCCCGGGGCCGCCCACCTACCGCCCGGGAGCTAACTGATATTATATTACCGGGTCAGACCCCCTCCCGCCCGGGGCCATCACCGCCCGCCCGGGTCCGGGAGCTAACTGAGCTAATAAAACCGACCGGCCGGGACTAACTCCCCTTAACTAGTACTGCCGGCCTGGCTAATAACTCAACTAGTACTACACACCGGGGAATTAACTGCTCTACTAATACACCCGCCATGGAATGTAACTCATACTAACTAGCTCCATCACCACCTGGAGAGTAATATTAACTAGCTCCATCACCGCCTGGAGAGTAATATTAACTAGCTCCATCACCGCCTGGAGAGTAATATTAACTAGCTCCATCACCGCCTGGAGAGTAATATTAACTAGCTCCATCACCGCCTGGAGAGTAATATTAACTAGCTCCATCACCACCTGGCGAGTAATATTAACTAGCTCCATCACCGCCTGGAGAGTAATATTAACTAGCTCCATCGCCGCCTGGAGAATAATATTAACTAGCTCCATCACCGCCTGGAGAGTAATATTAACTAGCTCCATCACCCCCTGGAGAGTAATATTAACTAGCTCCATCACCCCCTGGAGAGTAATATTAACTAGCTCCATCACCGCCTGGAGAGTAATATTAACTAGCTCCATCACCGCCTGGAGAGTAATATTAACTAGCTCCATCACCGCCTGGAGAGTAATATTAACTAGCTCCATCGCCGCCTGGAGAGTAATATTAACTAGCTCCATCACCGCCTGGAGAGTAATATTAACTAGCTCCATCGCCGCCTGGAGAGTAATATTAACTAGCTCCATCACCGCCTGGAGAGTAATATTAACTAGCTCCATCACCCCCTGGAGAGTAATATTAACTAGCTCCATCACCCCCTGGAGAGTCATATTAACTAGCTCCATCACCCCCTGGAGAGTCATATTAACTAGCTCCATCACCGCCTGGAGAGTAATATTAACTAGCACCATCACCACCTGGAGAGTAATATTAACTAGCACCATCACCCCCTGGAGAGTCATATTAACTAGCTCCATCACCGCTTGGAGAGTAATATTAACTAGCACCATCACCGCCTGGAGAGTAATATTAACTAGCACCATCACCGCCTGGAGAGTAATATTAACTAGCTCCATCACCCCCTGGAGAGTAATATTAACTAGCTCCATCACCCCCTGGAGAGTAATATTAACTAGCACCATCACCCCCTTCTTCGAGAGTACACCATAGTCACCACCCCTTGGAGAGTACATAACTAGCTCCATCACCCCCTGGAGAGTAATATTAACTAGCTCCATCACCCCCTGGAGAGTAATATTAACTAGCTCCATCACCCCCTGGAGAGTAATATTAACTAGCTCCATCACCCCCTGGAGAGTAATATTAACTAGCTCCATCACCCCCTGGAGAGTAATATTAACTAGCTCCATCACCGCCTGGCGAGTAATATTAACTAGCGCCATCACCGCCTGGAGAGTAACTCCTATTAACTAGCACTATCATCACCAGGAGAGTAACTCCTATTAACTAGCACTATCACTTGGACTGTAGCTGCAAGACTGGGTATTAACTCATATTAAATTATATTACCAGCGTGGCATGTGACTGCTGGTAACTGGGATTACTGGCCTGTGACTGCTGGTAACTGGGATTACCAGCCTGGCCTGTGACTGCTGGTAACTGGGATTACCAGCCTGGCCTGTGACTGCTGGTAACTGGGATTACCAGCCTGGCCTGTGACTGCTGGTAACTGGGATTACTGGCCTGTGACTGCTGGTAACTGGGATTACCGGCCTGGCCTGTGACTGCTGGTAACTGGGATTACTGGCCTGTGACTGCTGGTAACTGGGATTACCGGCCTGTAACTGGGATTACTGGCCTGTGACTGCTGGTAACTGGGATTACTGGCCTGTGACTGCTGGTAACTGGGATTACTGGCCTGTGACTGCTGGTAACTGGGATTACCGGCCTGGACTGTGACTGCTGGTAACTGGGATTACCGGCCTGGACTGTGACTGCTGGTAACTGGGATTACCGGCCTGGACTGTGACTGCTGGTAACTGGGATTACCAGCCGGGACTGTGACTGCTGGTAACTGGGATTACCAGCCGGGCCTGTGACTGCTGGTAACTGGGATTACCAGCCGGGCCTGTGACTGCTGGTAACTGGGATTACCAGCCGGGCCTGTGACTGCTGGTAACTGGGATTACCAGCGCGGCCCTGTGACTGCTGGTAACTGGGATTACCAGCGCGGCCCTGTGACTGCTGGTCACTGGGATTACCAGCGCGGCCCTGTGACTGCTGGTCACTGGGGTTACCAGCGCGGCCCTGTGAACTGGGATTACCAGCGCGGCCCTGTGACTGCTGGCTGGGGTTACCAGCGCGGCCCTGTGACTGCTGGTCACTGGGGTTACCAGCGCGGCCCTGTGACTGCTGGTCACTGGGATTACCAGCGCGGCCCTGTGACTGCTGGTCACTGGGTTACCAGCGCGGCCCTGTGACTGCTGGTCACTGGGATTACCAGCGCGGCCCTGTGACTGCTGGTCACTGGGGTTACCAGCGCGGCCCTGTGACTGCTGGTCACTGGGGTTACCAGCGCGGCCCTGTGACTGCTGGTCACTGGGATTACCAGCGCGGCCCTGTGACTGCTGGTCACTGGGATTACCAGCGCGGCCCTGTGACTGCTGGTCACTGGGATTACATTGCATTTTAGGATCCTTCAAATCATCAGACAGATTTAGTTATGACACTAATTGCCCAGCAGTACATACGTTTACTCTCAGAAATATAAGCATTATCACCAATAAAAGTCAGTGTGAAACCATATTTGTAAGCAGGATACATTGTAAACATAGTGTATACTGCCTGTCCTTCTCAGGGAGTTTTCATTTCTCATAATTCTGCCTGCATGATTACGTAACTGCTTATGAGGAATTTCAATTGTCTACAACTATGAGAATCCAACTGTTTAATTTATGAAAGTGTGAATTGTTATAGATAATCTGTTTACCTACATATGACACCAATTTTATTTTATTTCCCTGTTCCTTTTAAAATTGTTGTGATGTTGTGCAAAATAACTAAATTTGCAATTTCTATACAAAGAATTACAAACCAAATGGATACCGATGACATTATTCTATTATAAAGCGTATAAATACAACATTACCAGCATTAACTTCGATTCAGCATTATTTAAATGCTAATTTATACTTACACCTTGATTCATTCTCTACTATAGAGTTATATTACTGCTCCCTCCCAACTGTATACATGTAACTGAATTATATAATTGTTTGTCTTCTCTTCCTTTTCATGCGGGTCAGACTTTATTTTTTAGGAGTTGCATTAATCCAGACTGATGTATGATCATTTTAACACATAGCTGAGTGTACAATAAGTATTTTGTGTGTAATTTATTCTTTTGGTAAAGGAATTGCTTAAACAAATTTCCTGTTAATTTCAGCATCTATTATCATAACGAAATTGTACACAAGCGTGCTGATTGGATGTTTGTCGTCAGCTTGATTTCCTTTTTTTTTTTTTTCATGTATCTTAAGTGTGTGATATATTAGTTTGGTCTTCAAAAACCTTGCAAACCACCATCGGGGCATAAATGTGGAACTCTAAAACACTATGAAGGCTTTGCCCCTTTGATGGACAAGGTGTGATGCGTTGAGAGCTTATTAATTGAATCAAGAACAGGGCTTTTACCTTGAAGATATATTGGAGGTGATCCATTCGGACTGTGAATTTAGGGGGGGGGGCGTAGGAGGCAGGATCCCCGGTGAGTCTCCCCAACCGCGATCGCCGGCGACCGGGTAAGTAAAAAAAAAAAAACGGAGGGCGTACTATTACGCTCTCCGGTTTTAAGGGGTTAAGCACATTTTATGGATTGCAAAGACCATACGTCCCAACCATTGTCATGGACTTCATAGTCTAGGCCAAATGTGGCCACCAGCTGGAACCTGCTCCTTCAAATCAGTCTTCTTCCTGATTGATTTTTCTTGTCTGTGAAATCACTTTGATGCTTGTCAGAAGTACTCTAGGGCCTGCCAGACTCATGTTCTGGTGGGTGAACAGCCGGACCAAACTCTACTTTGAACTGCTTTTCATTTTCTCCAAAGGATAACTGCTATAACCGATGCCATTCTGTCTGCTCTTTATTACAATCCAGTCCCTTTAATGTGACATTGCATTTTACTTAGTCAAAGAAATCAAAATGACAAGTTTGCCAAAGAATTGCCATCTTAAATCCATGGCAACCGGCAAGGTAATGTGTGTTCCTTTCAGGAAATAGTTTGGGTTTTTCTTGTTACAATTTGTCGGAATAGCTTTACTTTAAAATGGCTTTCCAGGTTGGAATTTATTGGTGTGGTTTGTTTAGTGGATTATAGAATTATATTAAAATACAAAAAAAATCCCAAAGGAGAAAATGTGGTAAAGGGATGAAACTGGCTCATGGGATATGGCATTTCTTAGCTAGGTGACAATAGAATATTGTGGATTATTTTTTCTACTTTTAACCATTCAGTAGGCTTGTGTAAAATAGATTTGTAGTGAACTCTCTAACTTTCTGAAATGCTTTAAAGTTTAGTTTTGTGGGGGAGAGTGATTAGCACGTTGATAAAGAAGCATTGATCTTTCAGGCCTAGAGAAGCACTCTATTGTTATTGCCACGTATGCATCATAGGACCACCCCCCTCTTCTCGATGTTCCTTTTACCCCTTGGGAGTAACAGGGGAAGAAGAATTTCTTGCTTACCTGAACCTGTTCCTCGTGGCAGCCACCATGGTATTTAACTCCTGGCGCTTCGTCTGCTAGGACACCACATCAGTGCTATACTCTTGTGCATGTGCGAGATTAAAGCACTTAAATCTATGATGGATCCCATAGAACTTGTCTTGTGCTGAGTGAGACAATGCCTCTTCCCTTAGCTGTTGCTAGTGGCAGCTGGGGGAGTAACAACTTGACAAAAGTAACTCTCAAGGTAATCACTACTTTGCCTAATGTATTTTAGGAGAAATGGATTAACGATTTCCACACCCTCTCCACAATCTAATAGAAATGCATTGTTGGACCTTAGAGGAACACTATAGTCGCCTAAATTACTTTAGCTAAATAAAGCAGTTTTAGTGTATAGATCATTCCCCTGCAATTTCACTGCTCAATTCACTGTCATTTAGGAGTTAAATCACTTTGTTTCTGTTTATGCAGCCCTAGCCACACCTCCCCTGGCTATGATTGACAGAGCCTGCATGAAAAAAAAAACTGGTTTCACTTTCAAACAGATGTAATTAAATAAATAATTGTATCTCAATCTCTAAATTGAACTTTAATCCCATACAGGAGGCTCTTGCAGGGGATAGGAAAATCTTAAACAGAACTTGCAATAAAGAAAGCCTAAATAGGGCTCTCTTTACAGGAAGTGTTTATGGAAGGCTGTGCAAGTCACATGCAGGGAGGTGTGACTAGGGTTTATAAACAAAGGGATTTAACTCCTAAATGGCAGAGGATTGAGCAGTGAGGCTGCAGTGGCATGTTCTATACACCAAAACTGCTTCATTAAAGTAAAGTTGTTCAGGTGACTATAGTGTCCCTTTAAGAGCTTGCCCCGTGACCTGCCAATCTGCCTTTTCTGATACTGAATTTGATGTTTTTCTGTTCACATGCAGCGAGAAGATATGAGTGACCGCTTAAATCCTCCCATTACCCAATTCACTGAGAAGCAAACCTGTACAATGGGTGCTGATGGACAAGGGAAGGGAAACGCTAACCTAAAAGGAGGAAAGCATATTTGATTGAGTCATTTACTAGAACTGTGTGTGCACGAGCCGCAGGTTCTGCATGCTTCTCCTGGCAGGCGCGCTCCACTCACAGCGCTGCCTGCAAGAGTAGAAGCTCATTACTGTCGCCAGCACGTGGTGCATGCTCCCAATGGAAATCAATTTATTTTTTTGCTCCGTCTAAGACAGAGTTCCAGGCTCTCTACGTTACGTGTGATGGTGTAACTACACTCCAGTGCAAATTTGCAGACTTCTCTATAGGGAGTATTTCACGCAGCAATGTTGCATATACAGATTGCTTGTACCATGACCACTTCTAAAATAACCTTAATTGAGTCACACCATATGACCATAACGTGTTTAAGCTCATAATTTGGTTGGCTCTACAATTTCCTTATCAGGGAATACCAATGTGCTACCAGTTAATTCCACATTCCTGTTCAGCTGCTAATGTTGGAATGTCAAGTCATCGCTCCATGGAGGAAGTAATTCATGAAAGTAATGTTCCTGCACACCACTAGGTGAGACACCATCCAATTTTATTGAGGATTTACAACAAGCAGTAGTGTTTTGGGAACTTGATAATTCCCTATAGTAATGCTGAAGTGTTGCTGCTTCTTGTGGAACCCATTATAGTGGTGTGCTGGACCATTATCTTTTGGATTGTTGTATACCGGATGGTGGAACCAGGTCTAGGTTGCACGCGCTGTTTGTTTTTGGTTGTTTTTTTTCTGTGTGCAGACCACTTATAATTTTGCTCCATAAAGGAAGTTATGGGTGCCCGTTGGATCTCAGATTAAAGGTCAAACTGATCGCAGGGCATTACAGCACACTGTAATGTGGTTAATGGCATTTAGAGTGTTACTTTAAATCAGCGCTGTCCATTTTGTGTTTGGTCTAAGTTTAGCATGAAGCCTCTGAGGAGGGAGTGCTTCAGATATATATTCTTTCATCTCTTTGCTTCCACAGAGACATTGCATGTGACACTGCCATTTGAAAGTGCAGTTGTCATGGCAAGCATCATATTATGTCCCTTTCTGCTGGGAATAATACTATATCCAAGAATAGACCATGAGCTCTTGACTATAGTGTTCTTAGGTGTTGATGTTTTGAATATTTGGTTCTTGAATTCTGATATTTTCACTGTGGATTACCATGGCTAAAGTAAAGTTAACTTAAAAGAAAACTTTAGCTTTGGGAATTCAAACCTGTATTCCTGACGCTATCATGTCCCTGTCCCCAGATCTATATAGTTGTCTGAGCCCCAATAAAAAAAGTATTTAGTTACCTTTTCCAGAGTCGATTCAACTTTGTCTTCCAGAATTTAACTCTCAGTGCCATGGACACGCACTAGTGTGACTCAGTATGACAGTCAACTGTGGTGGACTTAACCTTTCAATGTATTCATTGCAGGTGCTTTAAAAAAAAAGTATTATTCACCCGATTCCAGCGCCGATGTCCGGTGCTCCCCCTCATTTGATGTCATCTGAATCAATGCTTTTCTATTGGGTTTTCACTGATGCTGGATGTCCGCATGCAGAGAGCATCCCGTTAAGCGACCTCAAGTCCTAAACTCCTAGAATCTTAGTGCTGCAATGTAAAAAAAAAAAAAATGTAATTCTCAAACTGCAATGTTTTACATTGTAGGACTAAGGACAATAGGGACACTGTACCCAGACCACTTTAATAAGCGGAAGAGATCTGGGTGCCTATAGTGCCCCTTAAACTGTGGGCATTTTGTTATGTTTCTTTATACAATACACTGATTTGGGTGTTCAATGGCAGTCTGACTAGCACAGTGTGTAGATGCTGACCGTATCACATCCCTATGTCTAGTTTACGCTTAGGATTGTGCGTTCTACCCTAATCGTGGCCACGCCGCTTCCTTCCCATTCTATCGGAACAGATGAGGGGAAACTGAGGTTTAAACCGGATCTTGGCTTTTGTTCTGCATCAGCTTGTCCGTGCACTTAAACTGCCACTAAAGACATGTTTATCATATATTGCTGTTAAGAATCAGCCCTTTCTGTTTATTTTTCATTGTCTTGTCTCTATTACACTGTATACCAAGTTACCTCTAACATATTGGTCATTAATCTTTTGACAGGGACTCAATTTACATAATGACATGGTGAGCTATTCATTGCAAGGACCCATTCTTAAAGTGTAATGTTTAAAAATGAATATTAGATTCTCCCCTGCATAGTTTGGGCTACTATAGTAGCCATTCATTGTGGACCTGATTAGTATGAAGTGCCCATCCAGTTGGCATCTACTAAAATAGCATGAGGTCCAAATAAGTCCCTCAAACACTACGACTTTCACTGGCCTCAACGGAAGGGTTAAAATTGGGCTTGAAAATCCAGGTGTTACTATGACTCCCTTTCCATTTTCCAATGGCCAACTTTGTTCCCTGCTGTAGTGTTTCTGCACTGTCTACGGCGTTTTTGTTAACCGTTTCTTGTTACCACACACCGGCTGGTAAAACCATTATTTTGGTAGTTATTATGGTTCAGCAACTGCAAGGGACGAATTGCCTTAACTGTGTTTCCTTTTGTTTGTAAAACAAAAAGGGGCTCACGCACAGTTTTCTGTGTTACTCTCTTTCTAGTAAGGGTTCTATGGCCTCTCTAACTTTATTACATATTTATTTTTTTGTGATACTCTCATTACTTAAATTTGTTTTTCCCATTGACTGTAGGATTCAGATAGATTACAGTTAGAAAAAGAATTGCAATGATCTGTGTAGGGCGACACGAGCACTGTCCAGGATGTCGAAACTCTAGACGGCTGGATGAGTGTAATCATCAGTTCCTGGAATTACAAGTCTAATCTCTCGTGCAATTGACATCTGCTGAGCATTTTCTTTCTGTGTACTGAGACAATTTACTAGGCAATTAAAGGTTTACTCTCTTTGTCCACAGTCCACAGGAAGACAAAATATGAAAACTGGCTGCAGCATGGTAGAGAAAGCTAAGAGCGGTGGAGGTAAGCAAAAAATCTTTTAATTCTGATACTTTTTGTTTGTGTGCTATACATGTGAAATTTGTATTTAACCCCTTAAGGACCAAACTTCTGGAATAAAAGGGAATCATGACATGTCACACATGTCATGTGTCCTTAAGGGGTTAAACACTCTGGCGTTCAATGTTCTGCAATATTAAGACAGGTTGTAGTTTGTATAACCTACTAATCAGTGATTTTCGTTTGTCTGGCCCATATAATTAAAGGGTTACTCCAACCACTTCAGTGATTTGAAGCCTGGAGTCTATCTGTGCAGTGTTTTGCCAAGAAACTATTCACATACAGAGAATTACACCTGTTGCTGCATCAGGTGGTGTCCTCGGCTAGCCTGAAACTTGTTCCGAGCTGGCAAATTTTAATGTAGACACACTCATTTAAATGTCTGAGGGTGGTCAGCTGGTGCTCTAAGCAAATTAAAGTGCATCGGGATCAGCGTCGGGTTCCTGCAGCTCTGCAGAAGCTGGATGCCTCACATTTGCCCACAAAGATCAGGAGCCTGGGAGGGATCCAGGTAAAAGGACCAACCATTAAAAAATGGTTTACACCATTACTGAGAAACTGTGCTAGTGGTTATGCTGTTTGAAGTAGTTCTTTAAACATCCCAATAGCCTTCTAAAATGGCACAGTTGTGGCAGTTTGTTTAAACTCACATTTAAGAAACTCCTTTGGAGTAGAATGAAACTGTCAACGCATGCAGTTTTGTTTCTCTTAATGTTTTCCACCGTTCAGTCACTTCCTTATGTTGGGCATATCATTAAGCATACTCCCTCAGTGGTGGAAGAACATTGACACTGGTGCAGTTTATTGCAGTAGTGTGTAATGGTTAAAATGCCACTCTAGACACTAGAGCCATTTCTTCTCATTAAGTTGGTTCTAGGTTCTTGATTTCACAGGTGCCATGCCTCCGTTCAGTGTTGCGTCATTTTAAAACACTGTAACACTGAATAAGGGACCCTGGTCAGGCCTGTGTAGGTGCTGTGGCTTATCGTCTGAAAGCTTACGCTCTCAGCCACTTGTTACTGCCCACTGTTGCTTGGGATAATGGTTCTTCGTTGGCTTGAGCAGAAGCAATGCTAGGGATTCTAGGTATACCATTCAAAAATGGAAGGACAGCCTTGGGGAACTTCAATGCGATGAAACAGTTGGTGTCACTTTAATGGGGATTTTGTGCATATGGAGATCTTTTCCCTTTTAGAACTCTGTGGGTGTTTATACACTTGCCTTGTTACTCTGAGATTTCACTTTACCTAACTTCTCCCAAACCTCATTTAACAAGGGAACCAAGGAAGGTAGGTGGGTGTGTGTGTCTGTCTCCTTCCTGCAAGGTGCGATGTAAAATCTGCAAGCAGTAACTTTTAAAGTGACAATCATTAGCATTAGCCGTTTTAATTAGTGTACGTATCTGTGTCTTGCTAAGTTTGTATCGGGACAGAGCACTTACTCCAGATTACCTTCTGCAGTTATTTCTCCATTCATTAATAGTTATTGGATATATATATATTTATTTTTGTTTCTGCTAATATGTTGCTGGTTTTATTTACTTTGCTTTTTAATGTTGTATGTTTCCATATTTACTGGTTTAGTGTCTGCTTCTTTCTGTATTCCTCGTTTGTGGCATATTGCAAAGTGTCACTGTTTCCAAATGCTAGTTCATAAGGACTTGGCATGTTAAGGATTGAAAATATTAATGCTTAGTGTCCCAGTTTTAAATAGCTTTTATAAAAGAACATGGCTTCATATTATCATGTCTATAAAGGCTGCATTTCATGCTTTTATCGCCCCCTTCGATGTAAGGTGTGCTATAAGGATAGACTGGAGACTGTGTGAGCCATCTAACAGTATAAATGTGTTCTTATTGGCTTGCAGAGTCATGCAACCATACCAAATACAATAACGATTCTAATTAACGTTTCATTTGTGTGAATACAGGTATGTGTTTGTGTGAATGGAGGCTTGCATTTGTAGAGTGTCTGTGTGAGCAGGGGTACCTTTTGTGGAGTGTCTGTGAGAATGCAGTGCATATTTGTGTGGCGGGTCAGTGTGTGAGAACGCAGGGCGTATTTGTGTGGCAGGTCAGTGTGTGAGAGAACGCAGGGCGTATTTGTGTGGCAGGTCAGTGTGTGAGAGAACGCAGGGCGTATTTGTGTGGCAGGTCAGTGTGTGAGAGAACGCAGGGCGTATTTGTGTGGCAGGTCAGTGTGTGAGAGAACGCAGGGCGTATTTGTGTGGCAGGTCAGTGTGTGAGAGAACGCAGGGCGTATTTGTGTGGCAGGTCAGTGTGTGTGAGAATGCAGGGCGTATTTGTGTGGCAGGTCAGTGTGTGAGAACCCAGGGCGTATTTGTGTGTGTGTGTGTGTGTGTGTGAGAGAACGCAGGGCGTATTTGTGTGGCATGTCAGTGTGTGTGTGAGAACGCAGGGCGTATTTGTGTGGCAGGTCAGTGTGTGAGAACCCAGGGCGTATTTGTATGGCGGGTCGGTGTGTGAGAACCCAGGGCGTATTTGTGTGGCGGGTCACTGTGTGAGAACCCAGGGCGTATTTGTGTGGCGGGTCACTGTGTGAGAACCCAGGGCGTATTTGTGTGGCGGGTCAATGTGTGAGAACCCAGGGCGTATTTGTGTGGCGGGTCAGTGTGTGAGAACCCAGGGCGTATTTGTGTGGCGGGTCAGTGTGTGAGAACCCAGGGCGTATTTGTGTGGCGGGTCAGTGTGTGAGAACCCAGGGCGTATTTGTGTGGCGGGTCAGTGTGTGAGAACCCAGGGCGTATTTGTGTGGCGGGTCAGTGTGTGAGAACCCAGGGCGTATTTGTGTGGCGGGTCAGTGTGTGAGAACCCAGGGCGTATTTGTGCGGCGGGTCAGTGTGAGTCTGTGTTTCTTTCCCCCACACAAAGCATTCTTCTTCTTACCTGTTTTATCAAAAATAATTTGGAATGTATTTCTATTTCTGTGGCCTCTGCTAACAGTCCTGTATTTTTGCTTCTTGCCTGAAAGTTCTTTAGCAATGGGCAGTCTTCAAAAACTGTGTGTTTAGATGTCACATCTGTATGTGTAGGATGGTTTTCTGCTTCTGTCTTGCTGGCAATTCTAATCTATCTCTGCTCTTTTCTATTTTTTGTGTATGTTCTGCTTGATTGTCATTTTATTTTTATTTTAGTTTCCCATATTTTTGTCTTCTCTTTTGTTTGCCGTCACTTGTCCGTGTTTTTTCATTTATTTTATTTCTTTAACAATCTGCAGGTTATCATTTCCCAGAGTGGGCGTACAAGCCTGAGTCGAGTCCCGGCTCTCGCCAGATCCAGCTATGGCACTTTATCTTGGAGTTGCTTCAGAATGAGGATTTCCGCCATGTTATCGCCTGGCAGCAGGGCGAATACGGAGAGTTTGTCATTAAAGATCCGGATGAAGTAGCCAGACTCTGGGGTCGGCGCAAATGCAAACCTCAGATGAACTATGACAAACTGAGTCGGGCCCTCCGGTGAGTGAATAAAAATCCAACCACTTTACTGATTATATAAAATGTTAACGCAATGAGGCCTGTCCTGGAGTTTGCATTACTACGCTTTAGGGAGCTTTCAGAAGTAGTGGTGCTGGTGGGGAGGACAGAACACTGATAGAACAGCATGTAATGGGTCATCGTGTAGCAGTTTGAGAGGGAGATGGGTTAATAGACTTTACTTGTACCCCCCAATGCTTGCATTCTGAATGTTGTGACTCTGCTGCTGGGTACTATATAGGGCTGGTATTTCTGTATGATTGGGGGGAGGGGGGTGAGAGGTGAAGGGAAAAAATTAAATCCATGTTGAAAATCATTTTAAAGGTACACTCCGAGCACCATCAACTACAGCATGCTGTAATGTTTGACTTCTTACCCAGGATGCCGAGCGCTGTGAGCAAAGTCAGACAGTGCACAATCAGTTGCAGCTCTTTGCCAATGCAGGAGAACTAACAGGAGCTTCTGGCTTTCACCGGCAGAAGGGATCGGCAACAAGGTGGACACTAAGCGATAAAAAGTCAGCCTGTTGGCAAACGGTTTGGCTATTTACAGGGGGGGAGCCCTGAGCACCAAAACCACTACAACACTTTTGTGGTTGGTGGGGACTCGTTCCTTTTAATCAAGCAAAGTAATTCATTCTCTAAGAGCGTGTGTCTGTCTGTCCTTCCTCAACATTTTAAGTTCTCCAATCCTGGCTCAAAAGTTACTCAGTACCACAAACTGAGCTGGAAAGAATTTTTGTTTTTGACTCCATAACACGAACTGAGCACTCACAACAGATCTGTGTCAGAACACGTGTAGTGTCCATGTGAGCGTATGTATGTAGAGTCACTGAGTTGGGCGTGTTTATGTGATGTATCACAATTCAGAATTGGAGAGAAAGCATTACTACAAACTGCATGATCACTTCAGTGATTTTTAGGGGTCATGGTGCCTGAAGTCTGTATGTGCAATGCTTCACTGTTGAACACTGCACATTCTTATTTTAACATCTTTGCCAGTTGTACCTCCAACTCTAGCAGCAGCAGCATCATTGGCCAGCATGGAACAAGTGTTTCTGCCTGACTGTCAATTCCGAGGATATATCTTCACGGTTACAATCATTGGCTGAGAGCAGTCAGCTGACAAGGTCTGTGAATGGCCAGCAGGATAGATATCTGGCTTGTGCAGCAGTGGGATGCATGTCACAGCCCGTAAGAAAGAAGTCTCTGCTGCAGGCTTGGTAAGAGGGCAAACTGTTGCAAAACTCTTTGCCCCGTTACCAGAAAACGGGATGTGGGCACTCCTAGCATCATGGCCACTACAGCAGCTTGGAGTAACCCTTTAATATTAGTCTGTGCTGTTTGACTGTAAGTGCCAAGTCAGAGTAAGGGCTGCTTATATAGAGACTAGGTTTGCAGAGTGGCTGCAGATGTTCTACTTGTGTCTGTTATCTGTGCAGAGATACCTGCTATCAGCGTGCACTCTGCACTGTCTGTTCATTGTACCGATTACACATTCTTGATCCATGTACTTAGCCTGCTTCTATTCCTTCTTTCTGACTCTCACAGTATAACAGGTGGGATTTCAAACTTGCTCATACAAGTGCAGGTGAGAATTAAATGGTGCTCACTATAGCCACAGCGCTATGCTTAGACAGCAAGCTTGTAACTACCATGCTACCACACTGCATCACTTTCTGAAATGCCTGGGAATTGGGGTTGAAATATTAATGCCTGGTCTCTTGGGAAGATCAGTGGATCTTCTCAACAGGACCATGATGTCCCCATTTTGAATATGTCTTATCCTGTCTTAGATTTCAAACACTAAACTGAAATTCGTGCCGTACTGAAGAACCCAAAAAGTGCAAAACACCCGGCCATTGCCTCCTCCGGCTGTTATTAACTGCACTGTCTGTGCTTATTTCATTGATGGAATTTGTTTCCCGTAAGGTTGTTTGCCTTTCTGTAGGTTTCCCTCTGGTTGGTAAACAAAGGCCAGACTAGGAAATGGATTTAAAGATCCAGCTATTAGAAGACTCAGTACAGAACGATACTGGGTGTGTCTTTCAACAGCTAAATTCCTCATGTAGGTGTGATGCTGCCTAATTTTTACTTAGCCTTCCTGTTGGTAAATAAAGAACCTTCATAAAGGAAATACGACTTATTACCCTACGTGCTCTTACTGTGAGGCATAGTGTCTGGCAGGGCTTTGACGGTTCTCTCTAGAATGTCTATTTCTTTAGAAGCCATATTCCATTTGATGTATTGTCTAACTGCTGGGTAACATTCCCTCAATATTTAGTGGAAGATAAATTTATATTCTTTTTCTAAATCTCCATGTAATGTACAAAAGTACCATTTTCTGCCTGTGTCCCTGTGGCAATCTGTGCACTCTGCTATAGGTAGATGAGGTTAAATGGGCCTGTAAATCTCTGATGACCTGTCAATGCTGCCTGAGGTCTTGCCTGTAGATCCTCCATAGTATCTGGTTACATACATTTCTCCTGCATGCCTCCTCCACAGCCACCTGTGCAGAGTACACAGGGGCCAGGAAACCTTGCTGATAAATAAACAGCCTGTCATCCTCCCACCTGGAAGACCCCTTGTCCCCGATGGGAAGCTCAGTGATGTGTCTTGTCTATCTTTCTGTAACCGAACTTTTACTGGAAGGACATTTACCAATACAAACTGATTATCTCAGTATAGGATTATTTTGGTTTTATTTTTCACATCCCAGGGGTTTCCCTTTGCAAACTGTGCATCACCCTTTCTCTTCCAATGTTGTTAATCTGTCCCACACAGTTACTCACTGGTGGTAATGAGTGAGCTTGGGTGAGATATAAATATTTTAAAACCCTGTGCTACGCGTTGAGTGAAGTTAGATCATAATGCTGTGTCAGTCCTGGCCTGTCTTAGATTAGTGGGCTTTGCTGCCGTTAATTCAATCCCTAAACCCATATACCAGCAGAGAAACTGGGGAGAGTGCTATTTTCAGCCCTTCTGCTCGGCGCCCATGCCAGCAATTTTCATTATAAATCAGGGGAAGACCGGACAATGAGCCGCCCCAGCACATGTCCCTGTTCAGTCCATGCACTGTGTGCATCATTGATTTGCTGAACTGGGACACCTGCTGCAGCTCAGTGTTGCCATGTTTCGTTTGTATTGGGGAGGTTAACCCTGGCCGAGCCAGACTGTCTGCTTCTGCCTGGCCTCCCAATAGATTGCAGGGCTTTGACAGGCTTATTCACTGAAGTTCCAAATCTATTTAAAGCCAAATTAGCTGAGCTAAGAGCGTAGCTGTCTTGCACAATTTTTCCAGCTTTAATGTTTTGGCTTTAATTTTAAAATTCACCTTCAATTATCACTTCAGTGAATAACCCAGTCATCAAACACACAAATACAGCGTGACTTACCTTGTCAAATGCATCTGTTAAACCTATTCTGATCCCTAATAGGCACACATGGTCAGAGGACTGGGAAAAGTTGGAGTGATCGGGGTATTTTTTTAGGTCTGCTTTAAAGAAGTCTGAAAATAAATGTAACTTTGTTAAATCCTAATTAAATGATGTATGGTGATAATTTGTGTACGTTGGTAATGTATTTGTGAAACCCTCTTCGCTCCCTGTTTCCCAAAAGCCGTTGGTTGTAGGTGAAGTGGAGTTTGCCCACTAAGCAATCTTCTGTTTCCCTAATCATGTGTGTTAACAGCTGATAGTATGTGTATCTGGCCTATACGGACAGGCAGTTTCCTTTCCTGTTTCCTCAAGGTGCTAACTCTGGTTATGGTATCTGACATGTTCACGCAGGGCGTGTGGACTTTGCCTTTAATCCATTAACTGCGCCTTCTCACTACACGATCCGTCCTCGTTGACGCAGAAAGCCCTGGAAACGAGCACACTGCCAGAGCTTTTATTTTCCTCTGTGTGTTTAAAAAAAAAAAAAAAAAGCGTGTGTTTGTCCAATTCTAAAAAAGTCATTAAAAGAATGTGTCCATTCAGGAAGCTTGTAAAATAACTTTCTAAACCTCTTCCAGGAGACATTCTTCTAAAATAGCAAAATCTAGAATTCCCTTTTATTGACTCACTCTGAGAAATAGTTAGAAAGTGTTTGAAGTTTTCTATGGTCTATGTAGTGCTGTGTATCTATATATGTTATCTCCTCCTTTGTTAGGTGCTACCATTGCAGATGGTTTAATGGATCTCTCCATTACTGATAACTAGCCCTAAGCAGGTTTACACTCTGACATTGTATCAGACCCCTGAGCTAGACGTGGCATTTCATGCAAACTAACTTTTCGCATGATCTATTGACACAAGTGTTTGGCCTGTTTTGTGGGGTTTTTTTTTTGTTTTTTACTTTTACATTAAGGTGGTTTCGCTGTTATAGAAGTTAATTTCATATAAATGTGTTTTTATGAGGTGCCTGTGCAGTGCAGCACCTTCTGTTCCTGTATGTCCAACTTGCGTGTTCACAGGGCATTTCACAGATGAAAGTCTACTGGGGCTATTAAAGAATGTGAATTGGTTGCAGTACTGCCAGTGAAATCCTATGCTTTTTATTAGTAATGATGGGGTAATATCATAACAGCATTTTGTTTGTTGTGCTCAGTTTGCTAATTGTGTTCATTTACCTCTTTCTAGGTATTATTACAATAAAAGGATCCTTCATAAGACAAAAGGGAAGAGATTTACCTACAAATTCAACTTCAACAAGCTTGTAATGCCCAATTATCCTTTTATCAACATCCGACCCAATGGTAAGAGAATGAATTGCTCGACCTTGACTGTTTCATGTTCTAATTGGTCCTGTAAGACCACTCTGTGAGCCGCTCTGCAGATTGAAACTTGGACTATTCCGAACGCTTTGTTAAAGCTTCGAGGCTCCCACCTTCCATCCAGTTCAGAGCTTCTCCTGTTTTGTGTGGTTTTTGTTCAACTGTATAATATATCAAAGCTGTGAAGCACCCCTTTACAATTAGGGGCTATCTATCTAATTATAAAAAGGATTCAAAGTGAGCCACTACATTTTAATAGGGTTTTTTTTGTGCCTTTTTTCTAGAATAGTCTTTTGGTAATACAGAGCGCTGTAATATTTGTATGATTTAGGGTGTGTCAAGTTTGGGCAGTTTCTCTCTTTCTATAATTGTTTGATTCTCAACACCTTCCCCCAAGGCTAACCTGCAGAATGCTCCTTGTTCTGGAATCTAGATGAACATTTAGATTTTTATTTTCTCTTTCCTGCCCAAGGCAGAGCAGACAGGAAACACAACCTGGTGTATGGAGCTAAAATCTGGTCTCAATTCTGCTCTTACTAGTAGCGGTTTATGTGAATGCGAAAACTACAAAATGTTGTTCCAAACAGTCATGTTTTCTGCTTGACTGCACTTGTAAATATTACTTTCAAAGAGTTGTTTGAAAGAGTTGTAGAAAGCTCTTGCGTTTTTTTTTTTGTCTGGTAATTGGCATGTCCATATGTAGAAGATACTAAATGTAATACAGAATTAAGTGTTCCTTTTTCATAATCTTTTTAGTGTATAGTCACATTCTAAAAACAACCCTTAAATGCAAAGTGAACTGAATTCCTTTCAAAGTTAAGGACAAATCAATGGAGTTAGGGTGGATGGGATCATTTTAAACACAGTTTCTACTGGTTAGTTGATGTCTAGCATTTCAACTAGTAGGAAGTAGTGGGCGGCATTAATTTATTGTATTCTAAAATGGGGCAAGCAAATGCAAAAAATGGGGGGAAAGAGGGGAGGAGTAGTGTTCTGTTTTCAACTTTTTAGGTTCCTGTCGATGCAGTAAAACATGTTCTATATATTGTGGGAATTCCTTAAGTCACTTTTCTATTTGGATTTCTTGCAGGTGCTGTCCCCCAGAGCGCACCACCAGTTCCATCAGCGTCTTCCCATTTTCCCTTCTCATCTTTAGACTCTCCTAACGAAGATGCAAGAGGGGGTCGGTTTTCTGGAGGATCTACTGCACAGTCCAGCCATGAATCTTTAAATGAGGTCTGTGAACGCAAGCCAAATCCTATGGAATCTGATGAAGTTTCTTCGGATTGGCGTCGTGGAGTAGAACTCATGTCTCGAAATGCTGTAGGATCAGGTGTGCATGGCCTTCAAAAGCACAAATCAGACATGATGCTCCCAGTTTTCTCAATGCCAGGAATGTATCCAGAACCCCACAGTCCTTTCTCTGTGTCTCCTCTAGCAGGACGAGGTGGCATGCTTAACGTACCAATCTCACCTGCCTTGTCTCTAACTCCATCAGTCTTTTCCTACAGTCCTTCACCCGGACTAAGCCCAGCTTTCCAGAGTGGCAGCTGCTTTAATTTCAACCCAGAAGAAATGAAACACTACCTGCAGGCCCACGCTTGCTCTGTTTTCAACTACCACCTTAGTCCCCGGACTTTACCAAGATATCCTGGATTTATGATCCCACCTTTCCAGCGTCCCTTTCCACCAGAGGAACAGCAGTCCTTCCCTATAAAACTGCAACCCCCTCCAATGGGGCGTAAGAACCGTGAACATAGCCAAAGTTCTGAAGACAAGCATCTTGTCACCCAGCCTGCTCCAGTTCTTCCACCAATGAAGGTGGAGCCTATTTCTGACGACGAACCACTTACTGATGAGGATCTAGATTTTTCAGGCCATAGTAGTGATGAGGAACAAGATAAACCGATAATGAGAGAAGATATGGAGAAAGCAGCGCATACATTTGTCAAACCAGCTACTCCACCCCGGTCACCTTTCCCACAAGGACCTACTAGAGTTGGCTACTCTAAAGAGGGTGCAGAGCAGATGGTTGAACCTGGAGATAAAGCAGCAAAAGACGTTTCTGTCGAAGCAGTTGCTGTAGAAAAGAAAGAAGACTCTCTGCCTCCAAAACTGCGCCTTAAACGTCTCTGGAACGAAGATCGTCAATTGGAGGCTGTTGAGGATAAAGAGTGTCGTAAAGTCAGCTGCATTATCAGTTCTATCCGGACTCCTGTAATCTCTACAGAACATAAGGCACTGGCTGCAGCTGTGGACTCTTAGTACTGGAATGGAATCAGGAAAATGAAATTCTATTAATATTATCCTATTTATGTAGCACTGCTGCAGAAAGGGTTGGGGGTTAAAGGCTTGGTTTTTCATTAATTCCCAGATTTTCTTAATGTTGCAGGTGATGCTTATTTTAAAGGGTTTTTTTTTATTTTATATTTGATGTTTCAGGGAAACCAATACCTCTTATAAAGAGGTAACGACTTAATGTAGAAACAAAAACAGATCTGCAATTTTTTTTACATTGCTTTTCTTCTGTTGTGCTTGTTAGGTGAAAACATCTACTTTTTATTAATCCTGATTTAGATAATGATCTGACTTGTCGGATTGCAGCTTTTATTATAATCTGCTAGGTTTGTTTTGTTGTGTATTTTGTTTTTTCTTATTATTCAATCAGAGAAACTTTGCTTCTGATATTTGCTGAACACTTACATTTTAGTGTCTTGTTTTATTTTTTCCCCTCTTTTTAGGGTGCTGCTGTCCCCCCTTAGGTGTTTTGTTGTTTGACACTAAATCTAAAGATTTTCAACCAAGGAAAGTGTGTATTAACAGTAAAACTTTGCACCAATTACAACTGAGTGAGTGGGAGAGAAACTATTTGGGTGTTTTTGTTTTGGGGTGGGTGGGTTCCTTTTTGTGATGTGAGGGGGCTGATTGGACAAACCTAACTAATTACATACCAAATGTGCTTTTCTCTTATTTTTATATTGCATTGTTGACAGGGGGGAAAAAGTTCTAGTGATTTTTTTTTTTTTTTGATATTTTTTTTTAACTAAAAAAACAAATTCTCTTGTTGAAACAGAGCACTTATTTTTGTGCAGTTGGATAACAAAAATCTCTATTTTTCTGTATTTGCTGCCTATTTTGTGTATTTTTAATGAAACTAACTTGGTGTAATTACCAAAAATGCTTTATCTGAGTAATGATTCCGAACAGCCGAATATCAGGATGTGCAACTTGAGGTTTTAAGAGGTACAGGAAGTAGGGCTCAACAAAGAAGGAAGGCAGGGGGAATGAAATCAACGATCTGCTTTATTCCAGCTGCTTGCCTTCCCCTTCTGTCATGTACCCTTATTAGCAGAAGTCTGCTTGCGTTTCCTTCTGACGTGTGTGACATTCCTAGCAATGATTGTGGCTACATTATTTTTTATAGTAACTTGAATTTGTGGAAGTCTTTGTATTGAGTACTCGGAACAACAAAACAAATTAAAAAAAAAAAAAAAAAAAAAATCCGCCCTCAAGTAAATGTATTAGAGTGGTGCAATATTTTTTTTTTTTTTTTTTTTTTAGTTTGATTTAAATTTTGTCAGCCCAACCTTAACATTTCCCTGGTCATGAACTCAAAGTTGGCACAATTCAAATGGCAAGACAAAATGATAATGGTGGAAATTAACTTCCATCACTCAATGTCAATGTTGGGGGGGATGGAGGAGAAACCAGAGTTGATGTTGCTTGATGTGTGGTTATTTTATGCATTAACGTATGGAAGTAGTTTTATTGAACGCTGTAGCAGAGGGAACTATTGCCTGCTCAATGGTGCAGTATGTGTCCCTCTCATGGCTTTGTGGTTGATCCTAATTGCCTGTTATCCCCAGTAATCCATCTTTGCCTTTTCGCAATTTTATTTTTAGAGCAAGGAATTGACTCAATAAAGATATTTGACAGCAGAATTTGAAAATGTAGTTGTAACAGTTAAAGAAAATCTCCCAACAAATGCTAAAATGAACCCACTGACTAGTGTGTTTTGCCTGAAACCTGTTTAATTCCATATATGCCATTCAAATATACTATGCTCCCCTACTTTTTAACCCTTTAAAATGATGTAGTCCATATTGGAAAATGTATTCTTACATTGACATTCCTTCATTCTTGAATAGGTTTTGATTTGACTTTTTTTGAAACCCTTAAGCATGAAATCTCACCCAGGAAGTGTTTATATATACATTTTATAATGCTTTTGTAGATTTAAAAAAAAAAAAAAAAATATTCAGGTAGAAAAGTTGTGGAACCAGGTTGTGACAAAATTGGAAGTGGCTTGAGGCGGTTGTGCGAAGTAATAGATTTTGGCAGGATAAATGCGTTAATGGCTCCTGTCACAAACTGTTTACAGCAGGACTATAGATCATAAACATTCAAATTGTGCAATTTTTTTCCAAAATTGATGGGAAAAATTCCTGCCGGCAGAGACTCATGTAGTTTGTGTGATGTTATGGTATAGTGTCACGTGTTGTACTGTTTTGGGGGGAGCTGCCCTATCTGACAATACCTGCAGTTAGATAGGCCCCCAAGAGTGATTGGAGATACTGAGGCAGTTTTTATAGGAGGAAGCAGATGCTGAGTCCAGGATAATTACTTGTTCCTAGTGCCAGGCTTGTTCAGGTGAGGGGAAGGTGGTCACATCTTCACTGTGTTGGCATAGAGGCAGTATGGTAATTTGTGACCTGGGCAGGCCAGGAATGACTCCATGGCTATAGCAGATTGCTATTGGTGCCAGTGATATGTAGTAAACCGTGCCCTAGCAAAGTTTTATTTTTGCCTTGTTAGGTTGCCAGCTGCCCCCTGCTTTGTCTAATAAGTCGATAGTTTATTAAAATTGAACTATAAAATTAGAGGATTGTATTCAGAGCGTTGGGTGGACGTTCTGGTAGTGGTCATACAGTGAAGCTGTATAAAAGATAATTTAGCCATCTGATCTGTCTATCCCCATCTAAAACGCATGCCTTGGTCTTGATCAAAATAGTCTGCCCAAAGAATTCATCAAAGCTTCCCCTACTCAGGACACTGGTTTAGATAATGCGTCAGGGTTTCTCCACTTCCCAACAAAAAAACAAGATCGCTTACACCTCAAGACACCGCCTGACCCTGTGTTACATAGTTAATCACTCCTCTCGTCATATTGTGCCATTGACGTTTTTTTATTGATTTTATCCTTGGGCTTTAAGTGTTGTATTTCTCGTCTGTCTGGCTTGTCGAGACTGTAAATCCCAGAATGCTTTCTGATATAACTGTCAGAACATGATGGATGATGTAGTCCCACTTTATTTTTTAAAGGCAGAAGTTCAGATAGGTTGACTTGGTAAAAATTACTGACACGGACTGTTTCACTGCTACCTGCGGAGAGGTTTCCTCTCCTTTAGATCAGTGTAGGACCTCTAGCTACCTGTTGCAATTTGATCTAAAAATGGCTGCATTCAGTAGCTGGAGATATGCCCCATCACAGATCACGCAATATTGAGGTAATTACAGGGCACATTGTGATATCCGACTGGAACAGCAGGGTTGTGTGAAATGGCAAATACATCTAAAGAGGTTTCCGAAAGAGAGATTTCCCCTAGCCATTAGAAGCACAACTCCCATGATGCTTTGCCAGCATAACATGATCTACATCATTACACAACCTTTCCATAGATTAAAAGGGAGTGTTTTAACAAACGCTTTGAATGCAGTGTACTAGAAGGAAGTGTCATGGAAAAATTCCCACAGGAGGGTTTTTTTTTTAATTTTTTTTTTTTTTTTTTTTTTACCGTTTAAAACATCTAATTTAGGCCTTTGTCCACATTTACACAAATATCCTGGTCATGACAATCTTCTTAAACTTGATAGAGATATATATATATATATATATATATATATATATATATATATATATATATATATATATATATATATATATATATATATATATATATATATATATTCCATTAGTTTCCAAAGATACTTTCTTTAGTTTGTCCTTTCCCCAAAGCTACATTATTTTTGGCTGTCTGATGCTAATTTGGGAAGCACTTTCTCACCCTTCTGAACGGATATATTTGCTCCCTCCCTCTCCAGTTTTTCTTTATAAATCTATTGCACCTCAGGCCTGCATTTCAAAATATCACTATATCCACTGGTGTTTAAGCATCAAAACAAATCTACAAAAATGTATATAAAAGCAAAACTTGCTGCTTATACTGGCAAGCGGCAGAAATACCTTCACACCAGGAAGAGGCTCCACCAATCAGGCCCCTGCCTTTCAGGTTTCTGGGCTCTGAGCTTATCACATAGGCTGTTGATTTATTCACAGCCAGAAATGTGGTGAATAGTGGTGTCATGCATTATGCCACGTTCTGCTGGTGGCATGTACCTTATGCAATTACGTAGACATGTTTAATGATAAAATAGGACATTTTCCACCTCCTTTATGTCCTTGTCATAGGGGGCTCTATAGCGGTTTGTTTAGCAAATAATTGATTAAAACACACAGGGGCAGGGGATCTCCTCACACCATAACTAACTATAGGCACGTAAAATTTTCTGGTACTTTGTGACCCACCATTCCAAAAACATAGATAAACTTACCATAGCGTGCTTTGATTGTACTGCTGCTAATTCATTTGTTTGTCTATGGCTTGTTACTTTACTGTTCAGTTTCCTGCTGAGACAGGTTTTTTTTGTAATGGGATTGTTTAGCTTCTGTAATTTCCCTTTGTCACATTCAAGAATGCAGTCAGCCTGGTCAATGATCTTGTAGAGGCACTGATTTTGTCTCTTCCGTGTATGGAACCCGGTATAGGAGTTCAATTTCCGTTTTTGTTTAAATTCCTAGTGTATGAGTTGATTGTTGCAAAACATAGCCAGAGCTTTGACCTGAATTTTTCAACTGTGTTATTTGAAGGGACACTATAAATCTGTATTCCTAACTTCATATTCTCCTTTTCTCTTGTCAGATTAGCGGCCCCTAATGTCTGCAGTGTAATTTATAAAAAAGTTATTTTACTCCCCTTCTCTATAGCGTTGTCTTCCTCCGCGCTGCAGCCCGCTCCACCTTTCTTGACTTCATCTTTACCGACCGTAGGTACATGCGCAGAGATCCATTAATGATTGTATGTCCGATGACTGTACTGCGCATGCATGCCTTCATGGTATGCCTGGGTATGAGAGCCAGGAAGCAACCATCCCAGCTCTCCTATCCAGGGCTTGAAGGCATGGCTTGAAGCCACTGTAACTAGTCAAAGTATTTTGGGGGGCAATTTCCAATGGGGACTACTGTAAGTACTAGAACAACTTTAATAACATTAAGTTGTCGTAGTGAGTGCCGTGTTCCTTTAAGAAGGTGAATATTCAAAATTCATTTAAAGTTAAGTTCTTAACGGAAAGCATAGCTGACTTTGAGAATGTGTTTTTTGTTTGGCCTATTTTGACCATCCGTTTGAAATTTCACTTCTGTTTAGTTAAAGGACCACTATATTGCCAGGAAAACAAACTTGTTTTCCTGGCACTATAGGGTCATTAGGGCCCCACTCCCGCCCCTTCAGCCACTTACCTTTCTCCAGCTGTTTGTACAAATAAAATTTCTGGTTATTGTTGAATGAGAATCAAACCAAATCTTACTTCAAATCCTTTTTAAAGGGTTTTAATTTGGTCCGTTAATGAACAAACTGATTATCAGAAAAGATACATTCAGTGATTAGTGGGAATTTTAATTGGACAAATAGTTTGGAACACATTTTTGTGCAAGTTTGTCTCATATTTTATTTGTTTGTATACTTGCCGGGCTGTCATTGGTGTAACTTCGTTTTCAATTTCTCCATTTAAATTGGGTAAGCACAATTGTAACATCCCACAGTGGCCGTGCAGTGCTTAATGCTGACTTGTCATCCGTAAAGCGAGGGTGGAACTGTGCCTAACCCTCTTGCCTCACTCCCAATATTGGACGGCATCTCCTCTTTCCTGGCAGCAAATTTTCACCTTCTCAGACATTACTTGGGGAGGCCGCAATTTGTCACCCTGCTGTAATATAGCCAAGGACTTACAATACTGTATGTTGTGTTTGGCATCTCTCCAGAGCAGTCGGGCAGTTTTAGGAAGATATAAATGTAAATCTGCATACAGCTGGCCTTTTCCTAGCTCATTTTAAGTTTGTTTGGGGGTTTTTTGGTTGTTTTTTTTTTTTTGGAAGGGGGGTACTTTGGTGGGGACATTTTTATAGCCAGGTATGTTTGGTCGACCAATTATATTTTAAAACGTGCTTTAAATGAGCAGCTGATGGTATTAATAGGACCTGTTTTAAAAAATATATTCAGTATAGACTTGTCATCTTGAAAGATGAAGCAGGGAAAATAGTATTGAAATACTAAAACCACTTTTTGTCTGGGTTTTTTTTTTTTTCAGTTTTGTTTTCCCTTAAACAACTTGCTGCTAGAACTCCCTTGAAAAGACCCCACGTTATTGTAGCCAGTTCCGGTAACTTTTGTGTTTCTCTCCCAGCAGTTTTCTTAGCCTCCTGTCTTTCTATCCTCCTATGGCAGCTGTATGTGGGGGGTGTATCGTTAAAGCCAGACATGGCAGGTCCCCCCCTGAGCCCAGTTTATGGCTGGAGTAGATAATTCAGAGGGTTCTCTCAGCCAGTTTCCCAATTTACATCCACTCTGTCTTGCAGGAGGTTCTTGTATTACTGCTGACAACCATTTGAAACCGATTGTTTTGGGTGTTTTTATCCTCTGCATATGGACCCTTTTATTTAGATTATGCACTGTTAATATTTCAGTCAGCTTAGATATCCATTGACAAGGATGAAGTGTATACTCAGGAACATTACAAAATCGCCATAAAGGCCTCCTCGTCTGATTGCAAAGCCCTGTGTCTGCGGTTTACTTCAAATGCAGAATTCCCTCTTCCCAAGTGCCAGGTATTTGTAGATGCTGCTTTTTCTCCAGGCATAGGCTTGCTGTTTGTATAATTAAGTGTTTTTAGTTAAATTTGATATTAACATTAAGTTAACTTTCTATATTTTATTAATGGGTGGAGGGAAGCAGAATTGTAGATAAGTGCACTTCACTTAGCGTCAATGTTGCTGTGTGGTGTTGGATGAGCATCCCCTAGTGTTCACTCTTTGCTATTGCAACTATTTTTGTAATGCAGCTTATTTAGAGTTTTGTGCTGCCCTTTGGGGGTTTATTTTTATTAACAAAGTGTGCCAAATATATTTAAACACCAACACAGGGGCTCAAACAGTACCCCTATTTAGAAACACTAATTGGGCTTTCGGCCAAGCCAGCAGAAGTGGGTGCATGAAGGTGGATTTTTAGAATAAAGCATTAACCCTGTATTATCCCTAAACAAGCACTTCACCTATTGCTGGCCTGTGTATCAGCGAAATAACTCTGCTTTCACAGCCATCTCAGACTTTTCATACATGCACATACAGACTAATGGGATAGAAATGCAAAACATGTTCTAAAAAAAAAAAATCAAAAGTATTGATAGTGTTGCAAGTACCAGGTAGTATCCAAAGGTCTATACAATCATTGCATCTTATGCTGTTTTACATATTGTCAGCTCCTTCATGCTCTGATATCGGAAGCGTGCCTCCAGCCCAGTAGACATTACTGTATTAATGATGTCTGGTATCAGTATTTGGCTGAAGAACACAACGCAGGATGTTCTCAATCACCTGCTCACATCTAGAACAAAATAGTATTTGCATTTCTGCAGCCAAAGCTGTGTTTGAAATGATTCCTCTGTGGTTGATTGTCCTTTATTATGTTGGAGTTCTAGGTTTTAATTCTCACCCTCCCACTTATTTGAAAAACGACATGGGGCAGATTTTACATTTGACTCTTCCCGCGTTTTGAATTTTGACATTTTGGTTTAACTAATGAATTAGCCCCACTCTTTGACACAAGTGGGTTTTGTACATAATTTGTATACTTGCTGATCTGTGCAGTGCCTTTTAGACGTCGCAATTTTCTATAAAGTCTTCAAAACACAACTTTTTTTTGTTTTGCATATATATTATATATATGATGTAATGTTATATAGAAATATATGTATAATATACATATTTTTCCCAGGGGTATGTGATAGCTCTGTATTTTGTATGAAATTTGTAAGTAAAGTATTTTACCTCAAATTTAAGAATTAAAGTAAATAAAAACTCCCTTTTCAATATGTTTCCTGTGTGATGTGTTTTGCTTTTGTTTTGTGTTTTTGTATTGGTGTTGGAATAGAATATTCAGAGATGTTCAGAAATTCATCTTACAAAGGTGACTGTGCCAAGTTACTGTTACTGGGTTAGCAGGATAGGCAAATATTCTGGCAATCCTTTCAGAGATTTTAATGTAGCTTTCCTGGTCATGGTGGTTTTAAGTCCAATTCCCAGGCTAACATCCACACCCAGAGCAGATATCCCATGGCAGAGTATTAAAGGAGCATATTCTGTGCAACAAGCAGGTAAGTGACCTTTTAATTCATTCCGCAGATATCACCTGGGCCAGCATTGTGTTTATAAGTTACTTCATAATGTGGTCTTCTAGGAGTAGAACGATTTCACAACGTACTCCTTGAATAACTGTTTTTTTGTTTTTTTTTGGAGGACTGCAGCTACACCCATGGCTTACACAGTATATATTTTTCCTTAATAAAACTATACAAGCCCTGCAAACAGTCATGATTTATTCGACAAAGGTCTTTCTGATTTGACATAATAGGGGTGCTATGTTTGGCTGAAAGGTTTTCAGATGCTGTCTGGTTGGGGCAGAACTCGATACGTTCCACCATGTTTCATGTTATATACAAAAATAGTTGTGCAAGCTGGATTGTAAGCTTGTTTGAGCAGAAACCGTTCAATCTTTGGTTACAAAAGGCAATAAGCACGCATACAATGGTGTACAGTCTAGTTAATCAGTTGTTGATTATGCAAGAAAGATTCTTACCTCTGGCCTAAAACCTTCTGTTTCTCTAGGTCCTTCGCCGATGGCTGATTTTCCCCCCTCTTTCTATGGCATTTCAGGTTTTATTCCTCACTCAGACAGGGAAAGCATAACAAGCAAGTCACGTGCAGCTGTATTGATCTGCCAGGTTACTCCATTTCACCATTATTGATCATGCAATTGCTCGATCTCAGATCTCATTTAGACCTTGCGTTCTTCTTCTATTGCTTTTCACTTTCGTGCTTCGTTTCGCCGCTCTAACACCGTGACCCGTTCAATAATGATAAAAAGCTGCTTGGTCTCTTCAGTATCAAAAGGTTGGTTAATTATCAAGTTCAGAGCTCAATGTTTTAAGAAAATTGTTTTGTTTTTTTGTTTGTTTTTTTCACCCTAAAGTCCTATCGCCGTCATGTATTTATATTGGTGGGTTCTTGTATCTACAACCACAGCCTTTAAAATTGTTACTTTATTTGTTGTGGACTTTGGTTTTTTGGGGGGAGGGGGGGTTTACCCCAAGTGTCAGTTGGATTTTAAAATTAAAGTGATTACATTAAAAAAAGTAACTTGCATAGTTTTAAGAAAATTTGCTCTGACCTGGTGTTAAGCTGTTGAAGAAAAGGGGTTAATTTAACAGGAAATATTTCCTGTTCTAGAGATTTAGAGGCAAATTGGAGAAATATTGCAAACTTACAAGGTTACTAAAACCATGACCACTACAGATCGTTGTAGTGTTGTAGTGTTGAGGATGTTAGGAGTACCTTGGTTCAATTCCCTGAGTAAAGGAGCAAACATTCTTACAATGATCCACATGGCGCTTGGTCTTTACTCAAGCTGGTTTACAATATCCGACTTGTGCAGAAGCTAGGTGCTGATTCTGTCGGCCATTCATTGGCTGAGCGGGTTAGCTGATCACTCAGCCAATGGTAGTATGCACAGAATCGACATTAGCCAGCCTGGAACTATGGTCCAGGCTGGCTAATGATTCCCTCCCAAACGCTGTAAGATATCAACACTTCTGTCATCAGAAAGGTTAAACTGTATACATGCAGAGTTTCATAGTGTAACACTGCACATACAGATATCTGGCACCATGACCACTTCAAGACACTGAAGTGGTCATTGTACTTTCTGTAACCAATTAATTTTTTTTTTTTTTTGAGTATTGTCAAGTGAAATTACCGTAACTTGTTTTGAGTTTTCCCCCACAGAACACCAATTCTGTCCTTGTAACAAAAGTAGAAAAAAGTAACTAAAATTGTGTTGCCCATTTTTACTCAATATAGAGTAAAATGTTCTAATTGGAAGATTTTGATTAAATTCCCTGTAGTAGCTTTAGATAATCTGCCACAAATAAGCACAAAGGAAAGTTTGAGAACTCTAATCTAAATTCTCTTGTTTTTCAGTAGAGCTTCGTAGTAGCATTATGGGTTTATAGGCCATATAATTCATTGTTTGAGATTTGGTTGCATTCAGCACGTAGGTTGAATGGAACTTCTGGCATTTGTAGGTCTAAAACATCTGGGGATCTATTTTTGGGCAATCCTGTTCTAAAATTTTAGTGACTAGCTCTGTCATGCATCAGGTGTGTTACTAGTTCTCCAATGTGTTTTTCCTTTTGTGGGTCCACTTGTTATATCCATAATCAATGCCCATGTTTGTCTGAATTTTTTTTTTTCTTTTGTAACTGACCAGTTTGTCATTATGAACTGGTGCAGGACTCGTCACCACCTTCCTCAAAAAGGGCTATCTTCACTATGCCATCCATTCCCTGCTGTGCCTTCCAGCTAGAGAGCCTGCAACAGCTTCTCTAAAATGCTCATGGAGCAGTGTAAGGCTCTCCCAGGTACAGTGTGCCCCACCGAGAGCACCACTGGACATTTTATGGAACTGTGACTCGGCTCACAGTAGTGCTGCGGTCCGGTCAGCTCTCGGCTCCAAGACACTAGTGCTATTTGGAAGGGAGACAAGGCATCCGGCAATATCAAGAACTTAACACCTTGAGGACCAAACTTCTGGCATAAAAGGGAATCCTGACATGTCACACATGCCATGTGTCCTTAAGGGTGCTCCATCACAATCCATCTTTTGTAATCATGTCTTTCCACTCAGCTGCCTGGAATTGTACACTGGATCATAGGATAGTCGTGGTCTGGCTAAAACATTCTCTTCAACTTGCTTGGGCTTGATACCTCTGATCAGACTGCTCTGTGGACTGGTTACTTCACCAGAGAAGAGCTTCACAGGGATAGTAAATGTTTGGTGATACTATGTGGGAAAGCTGTGTTTTAGAGTAACAGTATGATGGGTGCCTTGGTGTCTAGCCGTTAATTACCCTGATGCAAGTAAATTATGTCCCGGACACCATGATTGTGCATGGTGTTGATACTGAACCCCCTGTAAGGGCAGTTGTACAAAAAGCCATTTGTCACCAATAAAGTCTGTTTACTCTGCATTAAGCCTTGGCTGATGATTATGGGGAAGAGTTATAATCACTTGTGGGGCTTTTACAGAAGGGAAAGGAAATCCCTGGCTGCGATACTCTGGCAGAGTAGGAGAGGTCCGCTACATATGTGAACATTCCAAGCACCATAACCCTTACAGCATGCTGTAGCGCACCATTTCAAATTATTTGAAATTGTGAGACCCCTGATAAGACAATGTATTTCAGACTATTCCATTGAAACATACCTCTTCCAGAAAGTGTGGCACGTCAAATTACCTGTCTCTCCCTCCATGTGACCGTTCCTATGTGGCCCAAACCATTAACACCCACCGTAAGCTGGTAGTGGAGTCCCGCTGCAAACCTTCACACCATGTTACTTCAACCTGCAGTGGTCACGTCCGTGCTTTGGAGTGCTCATGGTACAAAGAGCCTGTATGTGCAGCGTTACAGTATAAAAGGCAGCACTTACTGTGATTATTAACTAAGCCTGGAATGAGAGTTCACCTGGCTCGCTGCCTGGTAGGACCCAGGTAAAAGACAATCTGTAGCAAAAAGCAGACTGCTTCCTTATCAGGAAACAGAACTAGAGTACTCTGGGTATCATAACCAATACAGCAGATTGGAGTAGTTATGATGATCAGAGTAACCCTTTAATACTCTAATTCAGGACAAGGTTTATGTTCTGCTGCACAGTGTAAAGTCAAGGATACAAAAGTCTTCCTACCCTTCTGTCTTTGTAGTAAATGAAAAGTTGCTATTAACTGTGCAGACATGAAAACCACATTTCTGTCTCTTGATATTTCTCTGCTTTCATTGATGTTATCTTATCCATCTAATAGTGTGTGGTATCGGCCCTTATTAGGGTAAAAAAAAAAAAAAAAAAACTTTCTCACAAATATCACCTGCACGCATTTTAGATGATGGAATGATAGTTTGGCATCTTGGTTGGACATTCAATCACAACTCCCAACTGTCCTTGTTCCAGTTTTGGACCACCTGTAATACAGCTGTTTCTTCTAGGGATACCACAGAGACATAGTGTGCAGGTCAGTGTTCCTATACCATGCATTCTACATAGTTCTGCTCTAAGAGCACGGCGGCCTGTCTTGTGGCAGGTATCACATGCTCCCTTTCCATCTGTTAATTTCCATGTTTGCAAAGCAGCCTTGTGTATTTTGCAATTGGTGGTTTGCACCACTTGCCTGCTCTCTATAGCATGGCAGCTGATCAAGATGGGGACATGAGCGGACATCAGGATACGCCCCACCACGTCAGTACTAGCTGTTAAAGATAAGCCACCAATAGCGTTTTTTTCTCAACCATTGCTGCTATGAAAGCATTGGTTTTAAATGAAAAGGGCAAATTGGACATAATTTGGATGCCCTTTATTGATTCCATGGGAGAATTTTGTTGCCCACTATGAGATTCCAGAGCAGTCTGCATGGGTCACAACTAGACTTAGGAAAATTTAGTTGGAAGCAGAGTAAAATAAATTTGGTTTGTTTGCAAAGTGCCACATTTTTTGCACGCAGCTTCACTACATGTAAACCGATTCGGATTGATTTACCGGGTATTTTATTTAGACAATCACTTAAAACCGATTTTTGCATATGTCTAGTCTCCATGGAATGTTGAGTCACCCTGCAGAGCCCCACTACATGTTTGTTTATATTACCCATGAAGTCTATGAAATAAGTTAAAGTATATCTCTCATACTACATGCATGTTAAAAAAAAATAAACAAAAAGTACATTAAATTGCATATGTGAATTATATTTCTGGTAACTGTATATATTAGAAGAATAACTCTATAAGCAAAGATTCCTCCCTCACATATGAATGATTTGTTGATATAAGGTGTCTTCCCAATAGCATCTCTATCTGTGACAACTGATGGCCAGAGATGACTTCTCCGGCACGGCATATTGGGTTACTAGAGGAACAATTCGCAAACACGACCAATTGCTCCAGAGAGGTCGTAAAATAAACAGGAGTAAGTGTTGGGTGTTCACAGGTGCTACATCAACGCTCTGTGTCATTTCAATGATCGCAGAGCTGAAGACTCACTGAGTACTTAAAATCTCTTTAAACAATAAAATACCTAAGTTATCACCATGAGTCGGTGCACAAGGAGGTATTCTAGATATAATGAATGTTTGGTTAAAAAAAAAATTGTAGCACTTTAGCTGAATATTCTGTTATGCTGTAGAGCATTTATTATGAATAAAATTGTGGATCTTACCCAGCATTTAGCACTGCCCATGGGGTCATTAAAATGTAGATACATAGACATCAGATTTTTATTTATATTTTTTTTATTATTTTTTTAAACTATTTTTAAAATACTATACACAGCAACAGACTCAATGTGCTGTCCCAGAACTGGGATACATTGGATCGGTGGCGATACCTACACTGCTACAGTTGAGAAAAACATCTAAATCAGGGTTTAGTGAGCACACCCCTTTGGAAAGCTGAAAATAAAGGACCTCACACAGGCCTGTGTTCCACAAGTTTACTACCCAAGGTTTCTGAGGATTGTCCTAAAAGGTTGATTACTCGCTTCTCACGTATAAATACGGGAGGTCGGGAAGAAGCCAGTGAACTGGTGCTTAAATGAGTTTTATTAGTGTGTCTGTCTCCCAGAATTGTTATTGATTTTTACCTGTCACTTCTCATTGGGGCTAATGGGACTTGATAAGCCTTCAAGTAGAAAGAGCCAGCTGTTTCTTCCAGTCCTGCAAAGCTATCCTTCTCCAACTGATCTTCATTCCGGGGATGGCTTGTTTACCTGTCATCATCAACATTGAGTAGAACAAGATTTTTCTATCTGAACTGTGCAGCTATTCTAAAATACAGACTGTGACAATGCAGAAGAAGGCCAAAACTTTTTTCCCCTGTTCATGTTCTGAACCCAAAGCTCCATTCCCTAGCTTTCTCTTTAAGGAGGGGGTTAGCCACTCATACCCCGCATTGTTGGGTTGAAGGTATTCGCAGAATTTACCTGTGGGATTAGAAAGTAAATTATAGCAACTATGTGATGGAAAAACTGGTGAGTATAAGTGCTCAATATCTATAATCAGCAGCATATCACCAACAAGGGGTTCTCTCCACCCTTCTGAAGTGGATAGTAAAGATAACAGACAGGAGGTTGTGGTGTATCCCCAAATTAATATATATTCACCACAGAGGTGATCAGCACTTAAGATCATATATACATACGATACAGATTATATTTTTAGTATATGAATACTTTTTAGAGCTGTCTCGGCTCTATTATGAAGGCCTGGATGGAATAATCCCCGTCTATGCATATAAGTGGAGGGTCTTTGGAGCTCGTTTTCAGGATGGAGTAGGTATATGTGAAAAAAGACAAAATAGGAAATCCAATGGTATAGTATATACAAACAATTGGTATGGAACAATCCTCACAGAGGAATATATGCTGTTACCGGAAGGATGAAGGATGTATTCCACAGGTAATGATGTATAAAATAGTAGGTTTATTAAATAAAAAGCTGCAAACATCTATATAAGTAAAAACAATTAAGCAAACTTTGGATAAAATAACTCCTCACTTAACACGTTTCGCCAAAGGCTTTCTCAAAAGTGGACCATTAGAACTGATGTATTAAATCAAGGAGCACCGGTTTTCCTGACCAAGGACCCCTCTGCCAAACTTCTCTGCTTATTGACATTCCATTTCTCCCACTTGTTTTGTTTGATATTCTTTAGACCAAAGAAGAGGACAGTTTTTGTGGGTGAATCTGGGGTAGGTGACTCTCGCCTGGAAAATGCTTATATATCATTTAAACAGTGCTGTCTGGTAATGGAACAGAAGAGAGATCTGTGCCATTAAAGAATCTGAGTCGATGTCCCTCTTGGCTATACAATCTGGAGTGGTGCTGCACTCTCTGGGTATCAATTACCGTATCCCAGTTCAGCTAGGACTCTCAAAAAGTCAATAGTTGCTCCTTAGACTTGCTGCTTTATAAAATAGATTTAAAAAGTTTTTTGTGTTTTGTTTTGAATGTGAAATCATATGCTAAAATAATATCCTTGGAGGGTCCACAAGTAAGAGGCTTACAAACTGAGCAAGGTGCTTGTTCGTGTTACATAGATATATATAGAAATCAAACAAGTGTGAGAGACCAAGTATAAAACCGTAACATATTTGAGTACTTATAACAGAGACCTGGAGGTAAGTACACATTACATTCTAGATTTTGCAGAATATCTAGTCAGCAAGAGTCCCAAATCCAAGTATCCATTACTAGTGTGGCTGTCAATGATTTTGTGTCAGGGCAGCTTATCAGATGACTCTTGGAGAGGGTTCCCCAGAGCTGTCAATGTCACGGACAGAAACTATGGGGGCCAACCAGTCTACCAGATAGGTTATATGGGGCCAAACAGTACTCATTAAAAAACTGATAGAGGCTGGGGTAGCTGCCTCTGTGTTGGCAGCCTCGCACTAGCTCTACTGGACTCTTATTGCCATGTGGTTATTTTTGATGTTTGTTTGCAAGGAAGATCTAGCATTGTAAAGGCGCAGCTGCTAGGGTCACCTGTATGAAAGTAACGTCCTGCCTCTTGGCATCCAGGGTAAGATTACACTTCTCAACTTTCACTTTCGAGTAATCAGTGTTGGGGTTCCCTCAGAAGGTGTCTGGTGGCCTCCTTTTCCGGGCTTGCCATCGTATTGGGTAACAAGTGATCTGCCAGCAACTGTAACAGTCTCTTGAGACAGGAATACCCTCATTGGTTCAAAGAGGGGGAAAAAGGACAGAGGAAAGTTACATTGATTGTTGCCTCCTATTTGGTCGATTGGCCATCCCACCAGACTCCAGACCTGCTTTCAGAATTGGCCACATGGTCATCAAGGCTCTGACATTAGCAGGGCAAATGATACAAAGCAGCCAGGTTTGTTCAGTAAGTTTCCTAAATAAAAATCCTCCCCAGTGTGAGCTTATATCTGATGGAAGCCGTACCGGATGAAAAGATATTTTACACTAATTTAAATGTTTGTGCGGGGTATATGTGTTTAGTCTTACCCAATCATGCAAATACTTATCGACCAAACACCCATTAATATTAAACAGTACCTTAAAAACCTGCATGTATCCATCTTCCAAATAATCTCCCTACTCTGTAAGAACTAAACAAGCTAAACCAACAGGATTACCCTCCGCAATTAAGCAGAACCTTATTGTTTTATCCTGTTTTTGTTCTTTCCCAACATCCAAGTATTGAAAGCTTCTCATCCACTCGTGGGGTGGAGTATTGTTTGGAATAACGACTACAGATGGAAATAAAACACAGATTTTAGTGTCCCTTGTCCCAAACCACCAGAAGAGAACAATTCCTGGAAGTGAAGTTCATAGTAGTCTCTGACCTCTGATTATCTACCAACGCATTCGTCATTCTTGCTGCTATTGTTTAACAAACACTTATTTACGTGTCTGTTCAGATCTCTTAGGAACACGTTACATGTTCATCTGTCGTTTACCCCTTCTTCCTCTTCGTTATCATTATTTTCTTTTACTCGTCATGAACTTTCTTTTTGTTACTTTGCCTCCTCTTCTCTTTCTGTTATTTTCTTGTGTTCTGTTTTCCTTTCCCCCTTATTCATTCTTTTCTGTGAAAAGCTTAGTTCTTTCAGGTTTTTTTTCTCTCGCTTTCTTTTTCGTTCTATTTGTTCATTGTGTTTTTTCATTTTATTTGCCATCATGTCTCCTTTACTCCTATGTCTTCTTTCTCTCCCTTCCCCCTTTCCTTCTATAATTTTTTCTGTTTCTATCACTGCACTATTTATTTTTGTACATTGTCTTTGGTCCCCTTCGTGTTTCTTTTTTGTATGTTTTTCTTTCTATCATTTCCATTTTTTCTCTTTCATGCCCTCTTCCATATTTCTCAGTTTTTCCTTTTTCTCTCTGGTTTCGCCTCCGTCACTCTTTCCTTTTAGCGCTTTGTTTCTCTCACTTGTTCTATCTTTTCATTTCTGTCCCTTCCCCTGTCTTATCCATCACTCTCCTCTTTCCTCCTCGTTGCAATGTCTGTTTATCTTTCCCTCCCTTTATTCATTCTTATTTATTCTGTATTCTTTCTTTACCAGTTCTTTATCGTGTGTTTCTTTGTGTGGCCAGTGGCACGTTCTCTAGCTACCAGTGAGAATGTTTGCTATGCTCTGTGTTTCGCTATTTGCTGCATTGTATATCGTAACATGACATAGCCCACTGTTCAATAAACAAAACCCCCTGTGTTTGTAGATTAGAATAGATTATGTGATGGGCTATCATATAATCTGTCGTAGCTGCCATTTCTCCAGACTACTCAAACATAAACTCTATAACTTCATGTGCCCATAATGCTTCATCTGGGATACCACTTTATTTCTCTATTCATCAAATCCTCCGTGTGTCATCCTAAAGTCACAGCCCTCCAAATTCACACCATGCCGTTCTGTAAATCATTTAAAATAAAATACGAGAAACCAACTCTAGACTGTAAACCCATTCCTCTGGTGTCTATACAGTAAGCTCGTTTGAACAGGGTCCTCACCTACCTCTTGTTCCTGTATTATTTTGTAATTGTCTCGTCTATTGTTAAATTTTCCCATTTTTATAATATTGTAAAGCGCTGCGGAATAAGTTGGCGCTATATAAATACCAATAATAATTACTTATCGTAAGCCCCATCTATGTGAAGGCGTCTGAAAAATAAAATGCTGTGAATTTCTTTATTTTTATTTTCATTGACCTTTTTTATTGCCGTTTGTTAAATCCTTTCAAAATTAGCAATTGTTTATCTGATACAGACCCGCACAGTGAATGGTTTTCTATTTGTAGTTCACGCATTAATTACATTATTTCAATCAGACCATTGATCAACATGGATACACCATTAGCTAGGCTCTTACTAGCTTTGGTTCAGTGTGCTCTGGACATCTAAGAGTTAAGTGAGTTGCTTCCAAATCACATCTCTTCTCATGGGACCGTAAAACACTGGGTTATCATTTTAAGTAACTCTAATACTGTCAGTGATGAAAACTGCCTTTCGCTTGTGACAGATACAGACAGAACGCGAGAGACGGACAGGAACACATACCTCTTGAGGTAGGTGTCTGCACCCCAAAAATCCCACTGCATGATATCTGTCAAAAGCTACTCGCTGGTTAAATGCTTGCACCCCAAAATTTAAGGAAATTGTGTAAGATGCTCAAGTCCGCACGCAAGCTTTAATTAAAGAGAATGAATCTTTATTGCAAAGTTAAAATATTTCCATTCGAGTAAAGCTTAGCATGTTAGGTAAAGAATATTCTAATTTGGAGATTAATTTAAATTGTGTCATTCTAATTAACCAGATTTATGTATTTCATTTATTTACTTTCATTATTATGAAATTTTTTTCTCCAGGGGAAAAATTGGTACATTATATGTGAAATTGTGTAGAATTTCTTTTTTTTAAATACATTTGGATATTAACAATTTCAGTCTTTTAAAATATTAGATAATGTTATATATTATATCTTCATTAGAAATGTATTTTAATGTAAATATTAGTAATAGAAACGTATTCTATTTTTTATTTTTATTTTTTAAACATTTATAAGGCCAAATAAAGGCAGATGATGTTCCATATGAATAGTATTTTTGCAGTAAAATCTCAACTGGAAGGGCGTGAGGACAAGTAATTTGATATAAAATTATACAGACAAAAAAATCATGAGAAAATATGAGTATAAGAAACTTGCTCTGCATTGAAGTGTTACCAGCATTAATATAGGGTAGCATCGAAAAAGTATACATTGAATATCTTGAGCAGTGGAATTAGAGATTGAATTTGATGTTTATAGCCTTTATGATTGATTCAGCAACGGGTGGGTGTATTTCTCAAAGATTTTAAATGTTGTCTCCTATATTATAAGTGTATATTAAATTATATAGTTTGTACAGCGCTACTGAAACTGATGGCGCTATATAAATAATATAATAATAAAGAGAGAGGGCAATGCATTCTGTATTCATTGTAGGTAGGCATACATTTTATTATATTAAACATGATATCTTAAGACTCTGATCCTCCAAATCTACATATCGCAAAAAAACACCTAAATGTTTTGTGATACCCCTCTGCTAAAAGACTGTTCTAGGTATCTACTACACTTAGTTCTTACACACCTTCTAATATGTATATATGTAGCACAGATGTAATGTTTTCACTGAACTATTTTATTCAGAGATGTTGAGTTATCATCAAGGTGCCGTAATTCTGTTAATCGTATTACTATTTAGACAGTTACGCATTGTCAATGCGTTAAATAATCTTAAATATCTAGTATATCTGCAACTTCAAGGGTTAACAAACATTCCTAGTTCTAATAAGGTTTACATTATCATTTAAAGGGGAGTGAAAGCTCTGAGGATTATCTTAATTAGGAGAGGGCGTGGGGGAGGGGGCAGATTTTACCTGTTAGAGAGGCTAGAAAACGTAAACTTGTTTACATTGGAACAAGGCAATTCAGAAGATGCCTGACAAGGCTATACAAATATATGAGGCCTCATCGAACAATTGTCCACTAACCTGTTCATTAACAGGACCATTAAAAGGTCAAGAGGTCACTGGTCTAGAGTTGAAGAAAGGCAATTTTGCTTACAGTGGGAACTTTACGGTAAGTACAATAAAGATGTGAATATCTAAACTTAAAGAGATTGGGGTTTTTCAAAGATTCTGTACAGATTTTTAAACATCTGGGTGCTTTTTAAAAAACACTATATTCAAAGATATAATATTTAATACGTGGGGTAAAAGCGTGGTGATCCAAGGAGAAATCGGACTGCTATTTTGGACTCAAGCATTTATTTTTTCCATTTTGCTGCAAAACTTAAAATTGATTGAATTTTTTTTTTTTCATTGTTTAAATGTGATTTTTGCTATCAAAAGTCCATTAACTATTCATCAAAGTTGCCCTTCTCAAGTTTGTAGTTCTGGGGAAGAATCACTTGGAGACTTTCATGGTAATTGAAATCACTAGTAACTTCAGTGGGGTGACCCAAGGGGCAGCTAATTACAGTAGGTATTGGGCTGTGAACTCGGTAGCTGAAATCATTTATACCAACTGTGATGGCTATCCATCACGGCTATGTGTGACCTCTCCATGTAAGTTTAGGGTGCAGTGTACTGGGCCTTAATACTAAGTTTTCATCAGTGAAGATTCAAGTAGTAATGTACATGTAACACATTAACATTTGAGGAATACTCAGATCTCAAATACCTTGAAGTATAAATTTTGAAGTGTGCCTTGTGCAGCCTGCTTTAGGCCATGGTCTTGTCTTATGTTTCTTATTAAGTCTTTCTTATTTAGTACGTTCAAGAATTTACTATAATAACATTTGTTTTTAAAACATTTTGTCTCCTGTAAAACACACTGTTTGAGAGTTTAAAGTGGCATTCGACACATCATAGCGTCTGCTGATATTACTCAACATTCCCTTACATCTTCCATGTTTTTTCCCTTCCCACTGCCATTGAAGAGGTAGTCGAACTTCTTATGAGCTTTCAGGTATTTGTCCTGTCAGCTTACAGACCATACAGGTCAGTCTCCTTCACTAGTCGGAGATGTGCTATGGACTGAGTCAGGCAAGGAACTGATCTCTGTGAGTACACACTCACAGCTTCTGCAAATGAAGGGGTGTGAATGACTGGATGGAGCAATGGGGAAGCCAGGCAGTATGGAGGTAGACACAGGTGATGGAAACAAGAAAGAATGTTTTCATACCTGCCATTATAATTGGTACAATAAGCTAATGATACAGTATGTTGCAGTGGTTATGGTGCTTGGAGTCTACCAATAAAATGAAATTGTTAAAATTAATAATTTAACAACTGGACATAAAAAGTCTGAGTTTGCTTTTTGTATTTTTAAAATAAAAAAGATAAATATAGCTTCCTATTTACTAACCAAAATTGTTCGTAGAAACACATGTAGCTTTATGTCACAGTCAGTACTGCTATCGGCTATTTGTAAACAGTGCTAGATCTATTTAGAGAGTCCTTGGTCTTTTTGTTTGTTTGGGGCCTTGGACACCTTGATAATAAGTATGTTAAAAGATTAGCAGGGTGTTTATTAATAATAAACAAAAATATCATTCCTGTAACATCTTAGAGACCGCAGTTTCACATTTGCCATTTTCACAATCTAAATAGCCCTAATTATCTTGCATTGTAAGATCCATAAAGCCCTGCGGTCATTAAACGAGTGGCTTGTTTCTTTTTGGAATTGAATCTTTAAAACCAGATTATGATGATGTAGACCGCCTTCGATAATTAAATATATAGGAGAGGACCTTTTTTTTTTTTTATTGAAATTTTGATGGCCGAGAGATCTCCAGATGCTCGAGATCGACAGGTTCCATGATACTTTTAGGTGGGGAAAGCACCATGCTTGTTGAAGATCTTTTGCTGTTGTAAATCTACATTTTGGACTCAAATCTTACAGTTTAGATCAGGTGTAGGCATTTTTTGGCACTCCAGATGTTGTGGACTACATCTCCCACGATGCTTTGCCAGCATTATGTTTGTAAGGGAGTTAAGGACGATGTAGTCCACAGCATCTGGAATGTCAAAGGCTGCTTACTCGTGATCTAGAGCAATGTGCACCAAGCTTATATCAGATCACTGTCTGCCTGAAGGTTTTACTGATTTCCCCGTCTCGGCCCTACTTCAGATGACCTTCCTGCGAGTCTCTGCTTCTTTTTGCCGTTTAGGATTTCTTATTTCACTGTATTACAAAAGCCTTTTAAATACCATTTCCCCCAGAGACACAAAGCAAGGAAATCGAGTCGGTAGGAGCAGCAGGAGGGATTGTGTGGACGGACTGGAGTCAGGAATTACTCTGTGTTGTTTGTTAAACTACGGGCAACGAGCCAGCCGCATGAAGTCAATGCAATGGATTTGGATCGGTAATTCCCCAAATAATGTTGGAGATTTAAGGAAACTCGGGTGCAAACATAACATTTATTTATAGCCTTTTTAGAATGACGGAAATAGGGAAGAGGTTGGATCAAAACACACTGATGTAAATGTTCAAAATAGAATCTGTTTTACTCATCACTTTAAATGAACCTCTACGTTTATTCAAATATTGGGATTTGCTCACGGATCCTGCCTTGACATCAAATGGCAAAATTAAGATCATAATATTTTTAACCCCTTAAGGACACATGACACGTGTGAGATGTCATGATTCCCTTTTATTCCAGAAGTTTGGTCCTTAACGGGTTAAAACATGTATCAGTTATTGTTTGTGTTAATTAATACATATTGTGATACACGTTGTTAGAAACTCTCAATATCAATATGTGTAATTAGAAGAAAGTGCGATTATGCTTACCTTTCAACACTGCAAAAGGACAAAGAGGGGCACTTTAATTTTAGGGGTGTGAGAGGTATTGCGACCAGGAGCGTGGCTGTAATAAATGTGTGAGTGGGGTTTAGCTGGGGCCGGCTGATCTGAGAAGGTTTAGGTGACTTACTAGTAATTTGTACAACTAAAATTTTATTTATAACAAGAACAATGTATCGTATTAACACAGACTGATTACTAAACACATTTATTGCAGTTTAAAGACACATTACTGGGAGTATTATTGCTGTGGAGCTCTGTTATACAATCAGACATTACTGGGAGTATTATTACTGTGGAGCTCTGTTATACAATCAGACATTACTGGGAGTATTATTGCTGTGGAGCTCTGTTATACACTCAGACAGATTACTGAAAGTATTATTGCTGTGGAGCTCTGTTATACACTCAGACACATTACTGGAAGTATTATTGCTGTGGAGCTCTGTTATACACTCAGACACATTACTGGGAGTATTATTGCTGTGCAGCTCTGTTATACACTCAGACACATTACTGGGAGTATTATTGCTGTGGAGCTCTGTTATACACTCAGACACATTACTGGGAGTATTATTGATGTGGAGCTCTGTTATACAATCAGACATTACTGGGAGTATTATTGCTGTGGAGCTCTGTTATACACTCAGACACATTACTGGGAGTATTATTGCTGTGGAGCTCTGTTATACACTCAGACACATTACTGGGAGTATTATTGCTGTGGAGCTCTGTTATACACTCAGACACATTACTGGGAGTATTATTGCTGTGGAGCTCTGTTATACACTCAGACACATTACTGGGAGTATTATTGCTGTGGAGCTCTGTTATACACTCAGACACATTACTGGGAGTATTATTGCTGTGGAGCTCTGTTATACACTCACACATTACTGGGAGTATTATTGCTGTGGAGCTCTGTGATACACTCAGACCCATTACTGGGAGTGTTATTGTTGTGGAGCTCTGTGATACACTCAGACCCATTACTGGGAGTATTATTGCTGTGGAGCTCTGTTATACACTCAGACACATTACTGGGAGTATTATTGCTGTGGAGCTCTGTTATACACTCAGACACATTACTGGGAGTATTATTGCTGTGGAGCTCTGTTATACACTCAGACACATTACTGGGAGTATTATTGCTGTGGAGCTCTGTTATACACTCAGACACATTACTGGGAGTATTATTGCTGTGGAGCTCTGTTATACACTCAGACACATTACTGGGAGTATTATTGCTGTGGAGCTCTGTTATACACTCAGACACATTACTGGGAGTATTATTGCTGTGGAGCTCTGTTATACGCTCAGACACATTACTGGGAGTATTATTACTGTGGGGCTCTGTATACACTCACACATTACTGGGAGTATTATTGCTGTGGAGCTCTGTTATACACTCAGACACATTACTGGGAGTATTATTACTGTGGAGCTCTGTTATACACTCAGACACATTACTGGGAGTATTATCGCTGTGGAGCTCTGTTATACACTCAGACACATTACTGGGAGTATTATTGCTGTGGAGCTCTGTTACACTCAGACACATTACTGGGAGTATTATTGCTGTGGAGCTCTGTTATACACTCAGACACATTACTGGGAGTATTATTGCTGTGGAGCTCTGTTATACACTCAGACACATTACTGGGAGTATTATTGCTGTGGAGCTCTGTTATACACTCAGACACATCACTGGGAGTATTATTGCTGTGGAGTTCTGTTATACACTCAGACACATTACTGGGAGTATTATTGCTGTGGAGTTCTGTTATACACTCAGACACATTACTTGGAGTATTATCGTTGTGGAGCTCTGTTATACACTCAGACACATTACTGGGAGTATTATTGCTGTGGAGCTCTGTTATACGCTCAGACACATTACTGGGAGTATTATTGCTGGGGAGCTCTGTTATACACTCAGACACATTACTGGGAGTATTATTGCTGCGGAGCTCTGTTATACACTCAGACATTACTGGGAGTATTATTGCTGTGGAGCTCTGTTATACACTCAGACACATTACTGGGAGTATTATTGCTGTGGAGCTCTGTTATACACTCAGGCACATTACTGGGAGTATTATTGCTGTGGGCTCTGTTATACACTCAGACACATTACTGGGAGTATTATTACTGTGGGGCTCTGTTATACACTCAGACACATTACTGGGAGTATTATTGCTGTGGAGCTCTGTTATACTCAGACACATTACTGGGTGTATTATTGCTGTGGAGCTCTGTTATACACTCAGACACATTACTGGGAGTATTATTGCTGTGGAGCTCTGTTATACACTCAGACACATTACTGGGAGTATTATTACTGTGGAGCTCTGTTATACACTCTAAATTTTGGACTCAAATCTTACAGTTTAGATCAGGTGTAGGCAATTTTTGGTACTCCAGATGTTGTGGACTACATCTCTCAGGGACACTTGGGTATTATGTAAGCTGAACTAAATAAAAATTGCCTCTTAGTGCGGAAGAATTTCAGTCTGAATCCCAAGCCTTATTAAAGGAGCACTATACTCCCAGGAAAACGAGGGTTATTAGGACCCCCCCTCATGATTAACCCTCAGTGTAAACATAGCCATTTCTCTGAATCTGCTATGTTCACAGCTAGAGAGTTAAAACTAGATGGACCTGGCACCCAGACCACTTCATTGAGCTGAAGTGGTCTGGGTGCCTATAGTGGTCCTTTAACATCTGATCTGTGCATACACATGCTGTTACAATCTGGCTGGAGTAAAGTTTGTTGTTTTCAGCATTTATCTTTGTTACCTGATTAACAAAGTGTTTAGAACTGCTACAGCCATCATCGTATTTAAAGAAACAGACACACACAAAGCAAGGCCAGGCATGTCATGGGTCAACTGGTGAAAAATCTGTGAAAGAAGTGATTAACCGCCATTGAAATAAAAAGACAGAGGTTTCAAAGTAAAGTTTTATTTATACAAATTCCACACATCCCAAACTAATATTGTGATTATAGACAGACATTCCTGCTGCTCTCTCACTATAGGGCAGACCCAGCCATATCTGCTTCTTCTCCCTAAATTGCCCTAAAGGGAACCTCAGGTGGGATTCTTATCAATGTACCTTAAAGGGACACTCCAGACCCGTAAAGCACTTCAACATGTCATTGCTATAAATATGCAAAGTCCATCCACGTAGACTGTTGTCATTTTCAGTTGCCCTACAGTGGAGCAGCCGCAAGAGAGGACTTGCTGCTGGAGAAAAAGTTAAGTCAAATGCATTTGGGGGTACGCCTGGTATAGATAGGGTTAAAATAATAGTCCAAATGCTAATGCTGCATTGTCCCTTTAATGGTGCACTAGTTAAATATTTGAACTTTTCTATAGTGACCCCTCCAGAGTACATGAAGTTATAGGAAGACTCTATAGTGCACTGTAATGGGATATTTTGCCCAGCCTGTAAGTGCCATACAAATGCAGATAACATTGATATTACTGATATAATAACTTGGCAATTAGCCCTAAGGCCATGTGCAACCAGGGGGCCCCTCGGTTTCTGTCAACCGCTTACACACAGGACCAGGGCTGGGACAGGCTATTGTGGTTGTACTGCTTAGTGCCCCTTTAACTAACGAAATGAAAAAAAAAAAACACTTATAACAAGTTCATATGTATCTTGTGTATAAAAGTAAGCTCTGCCACCAGAGACATGAGGCCTTACTTTTTTTTAGACCATAATAGAAGGTTAATAAGAGTTACTCCAACCAAAACAGGGTTTAAATAAAATAATGGTATTGTTTGCTATTACAGTATGGTGTCCCCCCTGCTACCCTCAATCCCTGATTTTAAATGTAAGGAAACACTAACCTGCTATCCTACGCTAAGCCCATGTCCTCTAACGTTATCTCACTCCTTCTCCCTATGGGGGGCTGTGGCACCATTAGTCGTGTGTCGCCAGCATGCTACGATCGCTGACAAGGCGAATACTATGCACAGATTTAATGTTGGCCAGCCCAGAACTCTCATTCTGGGCTCATAATGACGACGACAATAAAGTTTCTTTCTGAAATGCTGCAGATAGACTTAACGCACCATAACCACTTCAAATTACTGACGTGCTCATGGTGCTTGGAATAACCTTTTTTAAAAGAAAAAACACTCCGGGCTTCTACATTCTGCTGTTATCAAACCAGGAAGTGATTCGCCAGTCCTGACACTCACTAACTAACTTTCTATAGCGTCACTGAGTTATACCACAGACTTATTGGAATAGAAAGTATTCCTGAGCGTTCACAGTCTGACTCTGCTCCCTATTTAATTCTGTCTGTCAATCACAGGGGAACTTAACAGGTTTAGTTTTTGGGTTTTGTTTTGACGATCATCCAAATTTTGTACTTGATGTTATCTTGGCGAAACTCTTCTCCACTGTAACATTAGCTTACTTATTACATTTTATAATATATAAAGAGGATTTCGTGCATCCCAGCATTTGTTATATTATATTTAAAGTGATACAAAGCTTTATCCCTGGCACTACAGCCCCTCATACAGTATTACATTTTACAAAGCTACTTAAAATCACCTATCTTAGCAAACAAATATGGGGGCCACAAAAAAAATACAGATTTAAATACAAACAACAACAAAAAATAATAATTGTTATAAGCTCTGTCCTTTGCACTCGCTGTCAGCAGAGAGAGGATAAGAAATGGTACAATGTTTCTATTTCTGTTTATTTGTAATGCTTTTCTTGGCTTTGTCTTGTCTGAATCTTTAATATAAATTGCAAAGAATGTGCAGGATCACATTGAAAAAAACGTTAACCAAGTGATAAGTGAAATACACTGTTATATTGTATGTATTTTACAGGGAAGTAACCCATCTCCAGTGACATTAAAATACATTTTGCTAAATACCTTACACTCTCCCCAATATCTGCTGAATTGGGGGAGGAAACGCTACTACAGTAACCGGTTTGTTGGGAGCAGGTGTCCAAGTCCTGACGAATATTGTGCCTTTTCCTTTTAATGGAGACTCACCAAAATGATATGGAACCATTTGTGGATTTTATCCCAGGGAATTAAAGAGAAACCATAGGGCTATGACAGCAAAGTTGTTTTCCTGGTACTATTGCTCCCTATGGTGCCCCCCTCCCAGGTCCCCCTCCTTCTGTCACTTATCTGATAACAGCGCTGATGTCCCACTGTGCTGGTTCAGGCTCCAACTCTCCTCCTTCTCCGCCAAAGTCAGCCAGTGAGGGCCGCACCCACATTAGGATTCCCCCATAGGAAAGCATTATACAATACTTTCATATGGGGTTTTGGGGGACACTGGAAGTCCTCATGCAAAGTGTGAGGACATCTAGTGTCAGGTGACCAAAGTCTGGTCTGGTAGACAGCCACAAGAGGTAGAGTTAACCCTAGGTATGGTCACACTAATAGCAACACTTTATAGTTACTGCTATTTAATTTGGAACAATCATCAAAAACGTTCGGCTTATCTGGTCTCGCCACCAATAAATGAACATCCCAGGATTCTCTCTGTCGCAGCCAATCACTTTTCTGATGTCCCATAATCCTCTTGGCCTAATAGCATTAAACAGCTTTAAACAAACAAGGGTATTGACCCCTGACTAAAGCTACATTAACTCGGGAAGGTCCAATCGCCTGTGTGGAGGGCTATATCCCAGAGAGGGCCGTAATGAGCTTGCTGGGGGATTTATAGGGATGAAGAGAAGGAGACCTAGGGAATTATTAATGACAGACTGTTTCTTTTGCCTCTAACAAGCGTGAGAAATTTTCACTTTTTCACTTCAAGACACGGCTTCCACTTTGAGTCTAATAATCGCATTTCATCTTTTTTAACAGCACTATAAAATGAAGTAAATAAATAAAATGTCTACGATTGGAATGGGTGGTCAAACCCATTTCGTACAATTTATCCATGAAGCGCCTTTTTAACTATTTCAGTTCTGGCTGCTCAATTTCGAGGGAGCGCGACTAGTTAAGATTTGATATCACTTTAGAAATACCCGAACGTCTGTGATATTCGCTATTCCTGGAAGGGAACAGCAAATGTTAACAAAGCATCCAATTTGGAAACTTACCTGCTGAGCCACGTTTACAATTCTGCACTTTTTGCCGAAACTTTCAAGATTCGTGCTCATTTCGCCACTGTTTCCTGATTTAGTGGGTTATTTTCAGAATGTAATTTGCTGGGAATTCAGGGAATTTTAGATTCTACGCCCAAATAGCTAAACTGCAAAGCTGGCTTGGTGAATGTTTTCCTGTGTACCTATTGTGGCCTAAAACTTGCCATTTTCTTAGAATTACCAATCTCATGCTTTATTATTATTATTTTATTATTTATGCAGCGCCATCAGATTCCATAGACCTGTACAATGAATAGTGAATACAGTCGTGATATCGTTGTATCTAGTTTTAAATCAGCATCTCACATGGGTTTTTATGTTTTGTTTTGTTTTATTACTTTTTCGTTTAACTAATGTTGCTTTTTATTTTCCGTATATATCGATTTAAATTGTGTAAATTCATCTTACTAATGGATGTGAATTTACTAGAATAGAATGGCTGCAATGTCTGTGGATCTTTGTGTTTCCCATCCCTATACTAAGAGTCAAATAAATTAATTGCTTCTGCTATAGAGAACCCAGTGGCGGTTCTATAGAAAAGCATTCAGGATGGGAGGCAGGTCTGAGCTAATAGAGCCTAATGGTCAAATAAAGAAAGCATCTAGCTATAGATCGAGGTGTCTAAATGGTCAAAGAAAGCGTCTAGCTACAGATCGAGGTGTTTAAATGGTCAAAGAAAGAAAGCGTCTAGCTATAGATCGAGGTGTCTAAATGGTCAAAGAAAGCGTCTAGCTACAGATCGAGGTGTCTAAATGGTCAAATAAAGAAAGCATCTAGCCATAGATCGAGGTGTCTAAATGGTCAAATAAAGAAAGCATCTAGCTATAGATCGAGGTGTCTAAATGGTCAAATAAAGAAAGCATCTAGCTATAGATCGAGGTGTCTAAATGGTCAAAGAAAGCGTCTAGCTACAGATCGAGGTGTCTAAATGGTCAAAGAAAGAAAGCATCTAGCTATAGATCGAGGTGTCTAAATGGTCAAAGAAAGAAATCGTTTAGCTATAGATCGAGGTGTCTAAATGATCAAAGAAAGCGTCTAGCTATTGATCGAGGTGTCTAAATGGTCAAAGAAAGCGTCTAGCTATAGTTCAAGGTGTCTAAATGGTCAAAGAAAGAAAGTGTCTAGCTATAGATCGAGGTGTCTAAAAGGTCAAATAAAGAAAGCATCTAGCTACAGATCGAGGTGTCTAAATGATCAAAGAAAGCGTCTAGCTACAGATCGAGGTGTCTAAATGGTCAATGAAAGCATCTAGCTACAGATCGAGGTGTCTAAAAGGTCAAAGAAAGAAAGCATCTAGCTATAGATCGAGGTGTCTAAATGGTCAAAGAAAGAAAGCATTTAGCTATAGATCGAGGTGTCTAAATGGTCAAAGAAAGCGTCTAGCTACAGATCGAGGTGTCTAAATTGGCAAAGAAAGCGTCTAGCTATAGATCGAGGTGTCTAAATGGTCAAAGAAAGAAAGCGTTTAGCTATAGATCGAGGTGTCTAAATGGTCAAAGAAAGCGTCTAGCTATAGATCGAGGTGTCTAAATGGTCAAAGAAAGCATCTAGCTATAGATCGAGGTGTCTAAATGGTCAAAGAAAGAAAGCGTCTAGCTATAGATCGAGTTGTCTAAATGGTCAAAGAAAGAAGGCGTTTAGCTATAGATCGAGGTGTCTAAATGGTCAGAGAAAGAAAGCGTCTACCTATAGATCGAAGTGTCTAAATGGTCAAAGAAAGAAGGCGTTTAGCTATAGATCGAGGTGTCTAAATGGTCAAAGAAAACGTCTAGCTGTAGATCGAAGTGTCTAAATGGTCAAATAAAGCATCTAGCTATAGATCGAGGTGTCCAAATGGTCAAAGAAAGAAAGCGTCTAGCTATAGATCGAGGTGTCTAAATGGTCAAAGAAAGAAAGCGTCTAGCTATATATCGAGGTGTCTAGCCAAGACACGCAAGTATTTGGGGGACAGGAACACAGACCGTGATTAAACTCTGGCTAAAGTGAGAATTCAAAGAGAATTTCCAATTTAAGACCAGAATAGCTGTATTGAAAGCATAGATGGCTTAAATACCATTTCCATTTCAATTATTTTAATCTAAAATTTGAAATACTCTGAATTTAATTTGGATTCTTACTTTTGTAAATAATGCTGCAAGTGTGGAATCCCCTCTTTTTCCTTATTCTCATGGCCTCTTATTTTTTAGCCTGGAACAAAGTGATATTCTAGATGGAATTTGAGTAGAAGTTCAACCTCACCAAATATCTGGAATTGTAACCTGTCACTTCCCCAGAGTATCCTGTCTTCATATACTCTTCCCATCCAGACTTCCCATCCTAGGCTGTTTATATAATCCCAGTATTAGTGAAGACACGTTTCTTGATTCATATTAACCGCGGTTACTTTCAGACCTGTTCCCAGTCCCCAAAGACCTGAGCTGCCACTGACCTGAATGCCTCTGTGCACCCGGCGAAACTCTAAAGCTGTGAGACCCTGGAGTCACTCAAGATGGCGGACGCACAAGGCACTACAGCACTGGGCCAGACAATACCACGACCAGATAAAGCAGACCCCAGGGACCATGTTACGGACACCCTGGGGGTCATATTTGAAATCTTCTGGTCCACGCTGCTTGAACAAGCAAAAATGGCACAAGCCACAGGGGAGCTAGACAGAGGAGAGCAAGGGTGCAACGAAAAACAACCTCAACGGCCTCCTAAGAGCCGCAAGGCTATGCTGCATCGACCTGACTGCAAAACCGCTACTGCATAAAACCCACCGGCGGAGGAAGCGGGCTGCAGCTGGACATCCTACCCACCGCTGCAGTGCAGAAACGACCTACATAATACCAACGCCTGGTGGTAATAACCCAGGGACACCACCAAGACTCTAGCGACCCGAGGAGAAGAATTTACTTACTTAACGGGGAGCCACTGCCTTGCGGGCGGAAATCATGCTGGTCGACACGGGTGAACCGGCTGCCACGCAGGCCCGGGATGCGAGACACAGTATAACCCGCGATGCTGAAGCTCACTGGGACACTTCTGCTGGAGCCCTGCTCTTACAGACAGAGGGAGTTGGCTGACTTTCTAAGCCCCATGGCGAGTTGGCTTGCTGCCACGCCACCAGGCTTAAGCAGGCATAATGGACCATGCTCCAACCATTGTTGTCTCTGCCTGGACCCCAGAGGTTAACCTACATTAGAGCGCTCTATAACATGCGTGCTAAGCCACAATAGCCACTATTGTAATCAAGAAAGTACATATCTACTGCGCCTCTAAACCTACTAATATTGTCGTTAAAATGTATTGCATAGACGTGTTGTCATTACCAGATTTAATCCCGTTAGTCATGCATACTATAACACTAAATGTACACATTGTTAGTTAACTCTTGAATGCCAGTTCAGGGACCGATCGAAGGAAGCCTAACTCGATTGCATAGCTGAAAGTATGATCCAAGTAACTAAGCCTGATAATCTTACATGTCTTTTCTTTATGCTAGTAACCAAGGCTAAATCCCACTCTGACGGAATAACTGTTTAGTTAAGTTTGAAACTTATAAAAAAAAAAAAAACTGTGCGAATTATCATGCCACTGTTTAATCCAAGTGCATCCTGAGATACGCTGTTGTGGCATCTGTTGATATGTCTGTAACCACCCGCACAACAAAAACAAAAATATAAAAACAAAAACAAACAAAATGTTAATCTGTGCAAGATAAGAAGATAAGAGGAATCACACTATGGGGGAGGGGAATGAGAAATAGAAAGCTATTATTTTAACTCTCACAAAATTCGTTTTGGGCTCAGGGCCATGCAGTGCTGAAGCAGAGCTGTACCCACTATATGAGAAATTTTCCAGCTTTGTATAAATCCAATATAACGGAGCTATACCGGAAATGAAGTAATTACCTGATCTGAAAGGTGCTCTCAGCAGAAGCTGCACATCCTGGGGATTTGCAGCAAATGCAGGAGCCACGAAGTAGAGTTTGTTGTGTGGGGTGATTGTTTTTATTGTAATTTGTGCATATTTTTTTAAGGATTATTTTCATAATTCGTTAACAAAATGTGATGAACTGCACTCGGAATGCCCCTTTAACGTGTCACCATAGAAGATGCAGACACAGTCATATCAAGTTGCCTTATTTGGAGAGTTTGAGAAGGAGCTGAAACACAGAAAGCTGCTCTCTGTGTTGAGATGGCCCGGGATGAGACTGGGCTCATGGGTAATGAGGGGAATGTAGGAATGTCAATCTGTGAAACAGTGTAACAGTGCGGTACCCTGTTACCCTGTTGCTATGGTCACCAGGTTGTGAAGATTGTCCTGGTCCAGTGTACTCTCAGAGTTTGCATTGAGCTTGAATTCAGCCAATCAGAACTCAAGCTGCCCCCCAAACTCTGCAGATTAGAGATTAATTCTGAGTTATGTCAGGGGCAGCTTTGGGACGGGGTGAAGAGAATATCCCTTTCCCATCTTGTAGAGGGCCATGACAATTCTATTTATTGAAAAGCTTCTTATCAGCCAATCTCCCTCTGACTCAGAAGTCCAGTTACTAATCTACCCCACTCTATATAACCGTGATGACTAACCTTGACACCATAAATGGTTTCTGGACTACATTTCCCATGATGCTCAGCTAGCTTTTAGAGTCTAAAAGCTAGCTGAGCATCATGGGAAATGTAGTCCAGGAACAATTTAATTTAAGGTGTCAAGGTTAGCCATCACTGCTATATAACATAATTTTTGTCATATTTGGGGGTATTAAGGGTCTGTATTTTTGAATTAATTAATTTTTATTTTTTATTTTTTTAAACCGGTCAGGGCTAGTGTTATACCACCATTTATGCATGTTTAGTTAACCAATCATTAAAATACGGGTATTATCGCTACTGCATGAGATTAAACACCTCCCCCTCACAGTACAAATAGTCGTGTTAATGAAATGAGCAACGCACGATTTATATAAATGAGCTTGGACTAAAAATATATTTTCTTTTCGCCGATGAAAATCCAGAAGAATCCCAAATCCTTTTAAAACCAACCGTAGAAGGATAAATCACTGCTTAAATCTTGGAGTAAGTTGCTCCTTCATTTGAGCTGGGAGGGGGTGGGGGGTAAGGAGATAAGATTTGGACAGTTTCCCCCCTCCCTCTCAATATATATTAGAAAGACTATCAATCTGATCACGTTAGTCGTCAGATGATCTTATGTGGGACCGCAATAATAGGAATCTTGTCTTTGGAATTGTGTAAGTGAAGTAAAAGCTTTATTTAACAGGCTCCAACATATTCTGTAGCGCTGAGGTCCTATAGATTTTAATATTGTCACACATCCTGTGTTTGCGTAAATAGCTTACGTATTTATTACGAATATTTTGTATTGCATTTTTATTTATTCTGTTGGCGTAAGACTAACTTTTATAAAAGATGATGTTTCAGGATAAATGTAAATAACTACAGCTGAAAATAAATCCTACACTTACTCATTCCATGGAGCTTTCGTTTACGGGGCTGAAACGCTTTATTCTATATATTATATTTACTAGTTTTAAAAAAATATATGTTTTTATGTTTTTTTTACATCAGACATTTTTCAAAATCTGCTTTTAGAAGATCAATTTTAAGCAACAGAAATAATAATGGTGAATACATTTTGATTATGAGCATTATGTTTTTTACATTGAATTATACAAAATCTATCGTTTTATGTTTGTTTGTTTTTTTATTTTACTTGTTTTTGTTTGGATTTTTTTCCTAATTTGAGAAGAGACCAATTCATAAACTGAGCTTAATGGTCTTAAAATATGGAGATTTTGTCAATTGTATAATTCATCTTATATTTAAAAAAAAAACAACTAATGCAAACTTGTGATAAAATTGATTATTTACATTTAGGCAATATTTAAGAGAATGCCCAAATGCTTATTTGAAAAGCACAAGTGGGTTTGTCACTAAGCTTTGTATTCTAAAGAATTGAAATTTGAATTACAAAAGTCGGTCTAAAACAGCTGATCTGAAAACATTCTCCAACTCTGTTATGATCACAACTTGATTATTTTAAACCCAACTTTGGCATCAATTTTCAAATGATTTAAGTTTTTTAGATAAACTTTAAAAATATATTTTGTCCAGTATTAAACTATCAAAATTTATCATGTATAAAATATATTTATCAAAATATTACATTATTTTAAGAGTTTACCCAAAAATATCAAATGATTTGAAAAGCTTATACAACAATATATAAATGAGGCTGTTTTTTATTTGCAGACATATTTATTAAGGTAAGAAATCAAAGTACATTTCAAAGGAGCTGAACTGGCCTCGAGAATGTTTTCAGTTTATCGATTTTCACCTTAAATTTGAAATTCACTTGGAATTCTCACTGTAGTGAATAACCCTGGCAGAATTCAATTTGTTCCGATTCTGAGTTTAGAATTCTGAGTTGAGTTCCAAATGCTAATATTGTGATTTTGTGTATCTAAGTAGATGCATTTGGTCTATACATATTAAAATTGTTTAATTAAACATTAACAACTTTTTTTGAGAATTGCCCAAAAGATTGCACATTTTAGCCATTTGTAAAGATATTTTTACCGTGTTTTTATTTCTATAGAATCTGAAAGAGCATTAATTAATAATTTTAATTAGAATTTATGAGAATGAAATCTCATCAAGTTGTTAAACGGACCATATTGTCATCCTTCCGACTCTCACTGTGCCTTGACCTGCACGTCTTATAGGATTATTTAATACATTTTAAATTTTAGAGAATAAATTGAAAAGAAAAAAAAAGTATTTGTTTTGGAAAAATTCCACAACTCTGCTCCAGGTTTAACTTGCAAGTATTCAGAGTTTAAAGAAGATTGGCTAGGAGATACAATCATCTGGGATAAAATTAAACAGTTTAGTCTTGAAGTCATATATTATATTCAGATTTGTTTATACAAAAATAAATACATTCAAAAAAAATTGGTCCCACGTCAATCAAAACTTTAGTGTTCTACCAATCAGTTATTTTAATAATAGCTAGAGATAATTAACCTCCTGTATTCTTTGAACCCGGGGCAGAAAGTTGTTGAAAATTAATTTTCCATCTCAAGGCTGTTGTGATATTAGGAAATATATATTTTAATATTAAATTGTAAGCAATATTTAATGAGCTATGTACTAATCACACATTTAGTCACTGGATATTATTTTATTTGTATTTATTTGTTTTGCGTTTTTATGAGAAAGGCTGAACTTGATGGATGCGTGTCTCTTATTTGTAACTATATTGTTATGTATTGTACCCTTTACACATTTTACTAATGAGTGTACAGTGGCTTATTCATGATTTTACTACTATTTTAGTGCCCTTAGGCATAGAAACATAATGTGGAAATTATAAAAATTATTATTAAGAACAATAAATACTGACAACGTTACAGAAAAATACCTTTTTTTTTAATAACATTTGAGTGTTTTAAACGTCCTCGATATTGCACCTCCCCCCCCACCCCTAAATAAAGGGTTGGCTTGTTTCTAATCCAGCAGCGAGACAGTCCCTCATAACAGCTCTGCCTGTCTGCGATACCATCAGTACTGACTACCTCTCATCCAATTCAGTGCTTCTCATAGAAGCATGGAGAGGCAGGGTGCTTGCTTGAGTGGCAATCTCCTCACTGTGCCAGCAATGCTTGAATAGAGTCCAATGCTTGGTTGTGAGTCGTACTATCTTCCTCTGTGTACGAGGTCAAAAAGCAGTCCTGGATGTATGATGGCTGAAGGGTGCAGCTTGGCACCTTTATAAAAAAGTGCAGATTTCTCCTGAAATGGGTACTTTTATGAATTGGGAAACAAAGGGCGCTCTCGACATCTAAAGCATTTCGGCAAGCTGAAGAGTATTAATGTTTTGGAATGTTTCTGTCCAAGAGAAGAACCCGAGGTAGAGAATATGGGGGTCTACAGCTGCACTGCTTAAAGAACTGCACACACGTTCCACAAACAATATAAGAAAAAGTCCTTTTCATTTTGGCCCAAACTTACCAAACAGATCATTGCCTGTGTGATCTGACTGCTAAAATAACACCTTCGTAGAGAAGTACAATCCTAAAACAATCTTAAAAGGGGACCGTACAAAATAAGTAAACGATGACACCATGATTAGACTTGTGCACAATGAAAAAAAAGGTGTTTGTCCAAATCGATATAATGAAAGGAAAAAAAAATCATCCATGCAATTGTTTGGGCAAAAACTATTTGGACAAACCAAAGGTGTCGCCTACACTACAAGAGAAATAAAAGGAGGAGCAATTTAATATAAACGTTTTATTTTATTTACTCCTCTATTTTTCCCTCTATCGCTCACTTACTTAATCTAAGGATAAAATCAACATTTAGTGACTGTCCGCTAAACATTAAACTTTTTTTTATTTTTTTGTTCCCTGGACAGAACTCTGAATCATTAATCAAACAGAACAGCCCATCCATTGTCAGTTTCATAAATCATCCACATAGCACTTCGGAGTTCGGGATGTCAGAAGAATCACCAATCTCCTATAATTCAGATGAATCACAATTAGTTTGAAACCAAATGCACAAGTCTGATTATGATCCAAATAACACTTTAAAAAAATAAATGAAATCATTTAAATGCATTCAGATAACGGTTGGTTTATTAGAGAATAATGTGAGCCCAGATATATCAGACAGGGCTTTGTATTATCCCTACACGGTGCCCAATCATTCCACCTTCTCTTCTCGTTCCAGGTGTATAGGATGCACTGCGGCTGTATTCCCAGTCCATACTGGCTACCAGGTAAATATCCATTGTACCATGAGATATACTTTATATTTTATGATTTCTGTATTAGTATTGCTAGCATTCCCCATGGGGTTTGTGCAATAAATAGCATGTCGCAGTGAGTTGGAAACCAAATTGCAAAATCCACAAACATTCTCTTTAAAATAAATCTATTTTGAATATAATATCCACAGAAGTGTTGAATGATTTTTTTTCCCCAATTCTGCTGTTTTTGTGTTTATTTATCATTCTGTCCTCAAGTCGTCACTATTTACAGTTGTCTCTGGATTTGTTCAAACTGATTCCAATGTCAGGCTGTATAAACCATTTTACTGTTTCACCATATTCCTGGACTTGTTAGTTCTGCACAGCATGCAGTTTCATTCAGTCCCGGAGGATATGTGAGATCTGCATCCACTGGCGAAGCTAGACATTATGTCACGCAGGGCAGAGACTCCATTGAGCTCCCCTTATTACTCTCTTCAGGCAGCCGGTACATGCTAGACTTGGTGAGATCCCAGCATGCACACATCTGCCGGCTTTTTTGGCAGCCACCGCAGCTTCTAAATAGATTGTACTGTGTGTGTGATAGTTAGGAGATTAGTGTGACTGGGTGAGGGTGTGAGTATGACAAGGTATGTGGCAGGGTGAAGGGTGGTGTTACAGGGTTAGTGTGGCAGGGTGGTGAGTTACAAGACGGGAGTGACATTATGTGGGGAGAGTGTGCTAAACGGTAATTATATATAACATTTCCTGACTCCTGCCTAAGTTCTGGGCAGGAAGGGGGGAATAATACATTCCGTGGTGGTCCAGTAGGCTCCCTGGTGAACCAGTGAAGTCCATGGTGTTCCAGTGGGTAGCTGGTGCACTCGTAGGCCAGTCCAGTGCTCTGCGAGGAAATCAAGGCACAAGTTGGGAGTCCTGACACCCATGCTCTGACTGCCTCACAGAGTACTGGAACTGCGAGGAGCCACAGACCACCAAGGAGGGATTTTGAAAGGGCCGTGCAGGGAGATCTCTTGCTCTCCCTTCCAGCTCGAGGTGGGTGCAGTCAGAGGTGAAGCTTATGGCTATGTGGCTCTGGTGGCACTTGCACCCACAGTTCCTCCTAGTTTTGTCACAGTCTGCATCCCATGCAATGCCATCAGAACTGCGGTGAAGCATTGATAGCAAGAAATCTGTGCCATGGATGGTACAGATCAATGTTCTTTGCTCCATTCTGGTGTGTAATTATGAAGTAATGATGTCATCACTCTGCGCCCGAATCTCAGCCATAGAGGAGTCACAAGAAGGAGCACAGACATGAAATAGATTGTCCTCTTGCTAGCCAGAAAAACAAAACTATCAACATCAAATTAAATATTAACACCAGATTTTGAGGATCCAGAAAATGTTTGTCATGTATTCGCCCTCCCCCGCAACACTATGATCCAGGGTATAGTCTATTGATTTATTTACCTCGATAGTAAACAAGTAAAACTTATTATTTTTTGTTTTCAGGGCTGGCATTCCCCGAGTGGGCGTACAAGCCTGAGTCGAGTCCCGGCTCTCGCCAGATCCAGCTATGGCACTTTATCTTGGAGTTGCTTCAGAATGAGGATTTCCGCCATGTTATCGCCTGGCAGCAGGGCGAATACGGAGAGTTTGTCATTAAAGATCCGGATGAAGTGGCCAGGCTCTGGGGTCAGCGCAAATGCAAACCTCAGATGAACTATGACAAACTGAGTCGTGCCCTCCGGTGAGTGATTATAGAGCATTGTTCTACATCCCAGCCCTCGAAGGCTACAGCCACCCTAGATTTCAAGATAATTTTCACAGTTTGTTCAACGAGACCCAATGGAGGTTATGTATAAAAAGTGGTTTAAATTACTAAAACAGGCACACTCAATTGGTGACTGATTTCATGGTAATTGTCAAAATCACAAATCAATCCAACCAAGATTAACCTCTGTGAGATGTTAAATGTATCTAGTGCTGGTCCTCTGTCACCAATGGGGTATCCAAAAACTTTAGAAATGCCTGTTATCCCATTTCAAAAGGCCCCCAGTCCATCATGGTCAGCCTTTTTATATAATTTTTTTTTCTGTTGATCCAAGAGAAAAAAACTAAACTTTTTTGAACTAATTCTCATTGCACCAGAAATGAAAAAAAAAAATCAACTTTCATGACTTCAGAATGACAGCTAGATATCTCAACTGATATAGACTTCACTAAATTAAACGTGAGAATATATGTATATAACAAACTGATTTTATATTTAAAATAGAAACATGAATTTTATCTTTAAAATCAAACATAAAATTATATATAGCTTTTTTAAATATAGCTATTGATTCTTGTTTATTTTGAAATGTACTGTGGATAATTCTCTTGAATGGAGAGTGGTCCGATGTTTTGCAGTGAAATATATCTTGTTTAATAATGACATTTATCCATTTTAACCTGAGGCATGGTGTGCGTCATTGAGGGTCTAAAATGGACAGTCTTCCCTTTCAACATTGAGCCACTGAGCCGAACTCGAAACAAACTCATTATTAACTATATTGTACAAAGAGATCTGTACAGAATGGACACTGAACCTGGCAGATCTATATAGAATGTACAGTGAACCCTGCAGCTCTATACAGAATGGACATTGAACCCGGCAGTTCTATCGACACTGAACCCTGCAGCTCTATACAGAATGGACACTGAACCCGGCAGTTCTATCGACACTGAACCCTGCAGCTCTATACAGAATGGACACTGAACCCAGCAGTTCTATCGACACTAAATTCTGCAGCTCTATACAGAATGCACACTGAACCCGGAAGTTCTATCGACACTGAACCCTGCAGCTCTATACAGAATGCACACTGAACCCAGCAGTTCTACATAGAATGGACACTGAACCTGGCAGATCTATATAGAATGTACAGTGAACCCTGCAGCTCTATACAGAATGGACATTGAACCCGGCAGTTCTATCGACACTGAACCCTGCAGCTCTATACAGAATGGACATTGAACCCGGCAGTTCTATCGACACTGAACCCTGCAGCTCTATACAGAATGGACACTGAACCCAGCAGTTCTATCGACACTAAATTCTGCAGCTCTATACAGAATGCACACTGAACCCGGCAGTTCTATCGACACTGAACCCTGCAGCTCTATACAGAATGTACACTGAACCCGGCAGTTCTACATAGAATGGACACTGAACCTGGCAGATCTATATAGAATGCACAGTGAACCCTGCAGCTCTATACAGAATGGACACTGAACCCGGCAGTTCTATCGACACTGAACCCTGCAGCTCTATACAGAATGGACACTGAACCCAGCAGTTCTATCGACACTGAACCCTGCAGCTCTATACAGAATGGACACTGAACCCGGCAGTTCTATCGACACTGAACCCTGCAGCTCTATACAGAATGGACACTGAACCCTGCAGCTCTATACAGAATGGACACTGAACCCGGCAGTTCTACATAGAATGGACACTGAACCTGGCAGATCTATATAGAATGCACAGTGAACCCTGCAGCACTATACAGAATGGACACTGAACCCGGCAGCTCTCTGTAGTGAACTTTGAACTCTATCATTGATATTTATTAATCTGGGATCAAGAGATTAATAAATATCAATGTCATTATGAATGGATTGGTGGAATGAAGTAGAGTTACCGTACAATGCCATATTTTACTTTCCTTTTCATTTTGGCTCCTTGTGTACCCTGTACATTATATCTAATATTATATTACACCCTATTCAATGTTATTTCCACATGTGATGCACAGTATTTAAGATGTGTATTTCTGGTTACTGTAGTGCAATCTCAGTTTATACTTTACTCGTTTTAGGTATTACTACAATAAAAGGATATTGCACAAGACTAAAGGGAAGAGATTTACCTACAAATTTAACTTCAACAAGCTGGTCCTCATTAATTATCCGATGTGGGATCTGAGATGCCCTCCTCAATCAGTTCTGATGGGAAACAATATGTGTTGTTCGGTTGTAGTGCCACCTGGTGTCCAGAGAGAGGTAATGCACACAATAATCCACTTAGTGTAATACTGTGGCAGAATTAACCCATGTTCCTAGGAGTGTGACAAACCACCAGGTCACTGGATTACTATGTTCCCCTATGATTCCCTGGTTTGTTCTGTAAAACCATGTTCACCTAATTTTGATCCTTGTTTTGTTCGACAACCGAACAAAACCACGAAAGATCCTGACCACCCGTATGCTTTTTACCACCTGTATGCTTGTTAACCTCCATCACCCCTCCATCACCCCAGTTAACACTCCAATAATAGTTCACACCTCAGTGTTCTAAACAGTCAGCTGGGTGTCCGTTGTTCGTATGTACGGCCATCTCGTTCCCGCGAATGCAGGCAGCAGTGTTTGGTTGTTGAGTGCATGGAACTAAAAACGGACACTCAACCTCGCGAACACCACTGAAATTCCATCCCCACCTGCATTCATTTCTAAACATCTGAGAAGAACACTGTTCGGTGGAATCATTCCCACGAATGAGGGGCACATCATCAGCATACAGGTTGGAGCATCCGTTCGGTATTTTGTGCGTTTTCGTGCTCATGAAAGAGACTGACTCCTACCCCGGATTCTATGGAATTATTTTGGGCAGGAGCCTCGTGTGTGGTCAGTCAAACCTTTACCCCGGTGGCGTTTCGGCTGTGTTCGTGGGATCCGAGCCCTTGTGCGCTCAGATTCAGGCTATCCAGGGTATAAGACTTGAGGGGTTCATGGTTGTTTTATGTGTGTTTTTGATTTTTCTGTACCTGAGAGATATTTATAAGTTTTTCCCAGGTAATTATCTCTCAGGCACAGAGGATCATGGGAGGGATTACTCTGTAAGTTTGTACGGGAAACCCCTCGTAGGGGCTTTGGCATAAAAGTCCGTGTGTGGCCCTAAATAAACCAGTTGGCTCCAAGAACTGTGTGTCGTCCGGTTACTGGGGGATTGGGCTAAATCTGCTAAACAGTGCTTCCTCTCCAGCTTCAGAGAACCCCAGCGGAGATTTGGTATTTTATTATTGCAGCTCCACTACAAATACTAATTACATATATTATATGAGTTCTGGCTCCCCACAAATTTTCATCTTTTTAAATTGCTCTTTGTTTCCCAAATTTCTTTTCTCTAATTCACACCTGTACCTGCTCTTGAAAACTAATATAGTATATTTTATTAACATTTCTTATTAAAGGGCTTGATCAGCATCATAGTGGGTTAATGAATTTAATGAATCAGATTAATTGGGTTCCATATGTCAAGCTCATGCCCAGTGCTCTGTAAAGTCCCAGTGGTAGGAGATGCCCACACAGTTTGTATAACAGTAGGCCGTATGTTGATGGTTCGGTCTCTGTTTAGTGTGTGAATGCTGCATGCCGGGTGTCTCTGTTCAGGGTGTGAATGCTGCGTGCAGGGTGCCTATGTTCAGGGTGTGAATGCTGCGTGCAGGTGGTCTCTGTTGAGGGTGTGAATGCTGCATGCAGGGTGTCTCTGCTGAGTGTGTGAATGCTGCGTGCAGGGTGTCTTGAGGGTGTGAATGCTGCATGCAGGGTGTCTCTGTTGAGGGTGTGAATGCTACGTGCATGGTGTCTGCGTTTAGGGTGTGAATGCTGCATGCAGGGTGCCTATGTTCAGGGTGTGAATGCTGCGTGCAGGGTGTCTATGTTCAGGGTGTGAATGCTGCATACAGGGTGCCTATGTTCAGGGTGTGAATGCTGCATGCAGGGTGCCTCTGTTCAGGGTGTAAATGCTGCATGCAGGGTGTCTCTGTTTATAATGTGAATGCTGTGTGCGTAGTGTCTGTGTTAAGGGTATAAATGCTGCATGCAGGGTGTCTCTGTTTAAGGTGTGAATGCTGCATGCAGGGTGTCTCTGTTCAGAGTGTCAATGCTGCATGGTGTAAATGCTGTGTGCACGATGCCTCTGTTCAGTGTGTTAATGCTGCGTGCAGGGTGTCTCTGTTAAGGGTGTGAGTGCTGCATTCAGGGTGTCTGTCTTTAGAGTGTGAATGCTGCATGCAGGGTGTCTCTGTTCAAGGTGTAAATGCTGCATTCAGGGTGTCTCTGTTGAGGGTGTGAATGCTGCATGCAGGGCGCCTATGTTCAGGGGGTGAATGCTGCATGCAGGGTGTCTCTGTTTATAATGTGAATGCTGTGAGCATGGTGTCTGTGTTCAGGGTGTAAATGCTGCATGCAGGGTGTCTCAGTTCAGGGTGTTAATGCTGTGTGCAAGGTGTCTCTGTTCAGGGTGTAAATGCTGCATGCAGGGTGTCTCTGTTTAGGGTGTGAATTCTGCGTGCAGGGTGTCTCAGTTCAGGGTGTTAATGCTGCATGCCGGGTGTCTCTGTTCAGGGTGTGAATGCTGCATGCCGGGTGTCTCTGTTCAGGGTGTGAATGCTGCATGCAGGGTGTCTCTGTTCAGGGTGTGAATGCTGCATGCAGGGTGTCTCTGTTCAGGGTGTGAATGCTGCATGCCGGGTGTCTCTGTTCAGGGTGTGAATGCTGCATGCAGGGTGTTTCTGTTCAGGGTGTAAATGCTGCATGCAGGATGCCTCTGTTCAGGGCGTGAATGCTGCATCCAGGTTGTCTCTGTTGAGGCTGTGAATGCTGCATGCAGGGTGTCTCTGTTGAGGGTGTGAATGCTACATGCAGGGTGTCTCTGTTGAGGGTGTGAATGCTATGTGCATGGTGTCTGCGTTTAGGGTGTGAATGCTGCATGCAGGGTGCCTATGTTCAGGGTGTAAATGCTCCGTGCACGGTGCCTCTGTTCAGGGTGTAAATGCTGCGTGCATGGTGCCTCTGTTCAGGGTGTAAATGCTGCATGCAGGGTGTCTCTGTTTATAATGTGAATGCGGTGTGCATAGTGTCTGTGTTAAGGGTATAAATGCTGCATGCAGGGTGTCTCTGTTTAAGGTGTGAATGCTGCATGCAGGGTGTCTCTGTTCAGAGTGTAAATGCTGCTTGCACGGTGCCTCTGTTCAGGGTGTAAATGCTGCGTGCATGGTGCCTCTGTTCAGTGTGTTAATGCTGCGTGCAGGGTGTCTCTGTTAAGGGTGTGAGTGCTGCATTCAGGGTGTCTGTCTTTAGAGTGTGAATGCTGCATGCAGGGTGTCTCTGTTCAGGGTGTAAATGCTGCATTCAGGGTGTCTCTGTTGAGGGTGTGAATGCTGCATGCAGGGCGCCTATGTTCAGGGTGTGAATGCTGCATGCAGGGTGTGTCTGTTTATAATGTGAATGCTGTGTGCATGGTGTCTGTGTTCAGGGTGTAAATGCTGCATGCAGGGTGTCTCTGTTTAGGGAGTGAATTCTGAGTGCAGGGTGTCTCAGTTCAGGGTGTTAATGCTTCATGCAGGGTGTTTCTGTTCAGGGTGTTAATGCTGCATGCAAGGCGTCTCTGTTGAGGGTGTGAATGCTTAATGCAGGGTGTCTCTGTTAAGGGTGTGAGTGCTGCATTCAGGGTGTCTTTGTTCAGCATGTAAATGCTGCATTCAGGGTGTCTCTTTTAACAGTGTGAATGCTGTGTGCAAGGTGTCTCTGTTGAGGGTGTGAATGCTGCATGCAGGGTGTCTATTCAGGGTGTAAATTCTGCATGCAGGTTATCTCTGTTGAGGGTGTGAATGCTGCATGCATGGTGTCTCTGCTGAGGGTGTGAATGCTGCGTGCATGGTGTCTGCATATAGGGTGTGAATGCTGCATGCAGAGTGCCTATGTTCAGGGTGTGAATGCTGTGTGCAAGGTGTCTCTGTTCAGGGTGTAAATGCTGCATGCAGGGTGTCTCTGTTTAGGGTGTGAATTCTGCGTGCAGGGTGTCTCAGTTCAGGGTGTTAATGCTGCGTGCAGGGTGTCTCTGTCTAAGGTGTTAATGCTGCATGCAAGGCATCTCTGTTGAGGGTGTGAATGCAGGGTGTAAATGCTGCATGCAGGGTGTCTCTGTTAAGGGTGTGAGTGCTGCATTCAGGGTGTCTGTCTTTAGAGTGTGAATTCTGCATGCAGGGTGTCTCTGTTGAGGGTGTGAATGCTGCATTCAGGGTGTCTCTTTTAAGGGTGGGAATGATGCGTGCAAGGTGTCTCTGTTGAGGGTGTGAATGCTGCATGCAGGGTGTCTCTGTTCAGGGTGTAAATGCTGCATGCAGGTTGTCTCTGTTGAGGGTGTGAATGCTGCATGCAGGGTGTCTCTGCTGACGGTGTGAATGCTGCATGCAGGGTGTCTTGGTTGAGGGTGTGAATGCTGCGTGCATGGTGTCTGTGTTTAGGGTGTGAATGCTGCGTGCAGAGTGCCTATGTTCAGGGTGTGAATGCTGCATGCAGGGTGTCTCTGTTCAGGGTGTGAATGCTGCATGCAGGGTGTCTCTGTTCAGGGTGTAAATGCTGCATGCAGGGTGTCTCTGCTGAGGGTGTGAATGCTGCGTGCAGGGTGTCTTGGTTGAGGGTGTGAATGCTGCGTGCATGGTGTCTCTGTTCAGGGTGTGAATGCTGCATGCAGGGTGTCTCTGTTCAGGGTGTGAATGCTGCGTGCATGGTGTCTCTGTTCAGGGTGTGAATGCTGTGTGCAGGGTGTCTGATGGGTTGATAGTTGTGTAATGTGTGTATGTTATTGTGGTGATGAGTTGTGTTTAGAAGATTTTATCCACTTTTTATCATTTTAGGTTTTACAAAGTACAATCCTTGCACGCAAGTTACTGTCTGATCAGCTGACTTGTCGCAGAGTGATGCAGAATCCAGGAGATGGCACCAGTTCTTCTGAAAAAAAGATAACTCCAAATTTGGGTAATACCTATTCATTGACTAATTGTATCAGAATCTAGGTTACAGAATATATTCTGCTTTTATACCAACATTTGTTCTATCAGAATGTATTCTATGAGGACAATGTGTAGCACTTTGATAAACTCTGTAAGATAATTTTATGTGATAACAACCTTTCAGATTTATTTGTCAGTTAAAGGACCACTCTAGGCACCCAGACCACTTCAGCTTAATGAAGTGGTCTGGGTGCCTGGTCCTTCTAGGGTTAACCCATTTTTTCATAAACATAGCAGTTTCAGAGAAACTGCTGTGCTTATGAATGGGTTAAGCCTTCCCCTATTTCCTCTAGTGGCTGTCCCATTGACAGCCGCTAGAGGCGCTTGCGTGCTTCTCACTGTGATTTTCACAGTGAGAGCACGCCAGCGTCATAGGAAAGCATTATCAATGCTTTCCTAGATCTGAATGCGCTTTTGCCGCGCTTTTGCGATTCAGCCGACGGGGAGGAGAGGAGGAGGATCGGAGGAGGAGAGCTCCCCGCCCAGCGCTGGAAAAAGGTAAGTTTTTACCCCTTTCCCCTTTCCAGAGCCGGGCGGGAGTGGGACCCTCAGGGTGGGGGCACCCTCAGGGCACTATAGTGCCAGGAAAACGAGTATGGTTTCCTGGCACTATAGTGGTCCTTTAAAGCATGGACAAGATGGAGGCTATACTTCGTAATACATTTATAAAAAGTAAAAGGAAGTTTGGTGTCCCTGTAACAAATCCGATATTGCTTCAATTATTATTTTATATGATTACCATTAATAGGAAAAAACCCAGTTTCACAAGACCCAGCCACTATAAATGTATATTATCCTCATCAACTTACACGGAGTGAGGTCAACATTCTACCAGGACAAACCTAGATTCTTTCAATCAACTTACATTAAGAGAGGAGAGCATAGTATGTACACAAAATTCAGCAAAGTTTTAAAGAACTAGCCAGTCCCTCCAAAGATTCACCTACAAACGCATGTTGTTCTCTTTGACATTAACTTGTCCACATGACCATTTGTCCATAAAAGGAGCAAGATTGTCCTTAAAAGGTTGTATGTCTGTTTAATAAATTACTGATTAGGTACTTTGTTGTAAGCATACATTAGCCTTTTGGCAGTGTTTCAAACTGTTTTTTATTCCTCTCTCTAGGATTAAGTGCACCATCTCCTCCATGTGGTCTGAGCTCCTTTAATCACTTTGGCCATGATAGACCTTTCCACATTCCATCTTCCCCTGCAGAAATTAACCCACCAGGTTTTTCACCCCACCATGGTCAGCCAGTCTACTCTTCTCCACAAATTGCTCTGGCAGGGTCATCTGAGTGGCAGTTGTGTACCAGTCACTTACTCCAACGCAGTCAGACACTAATGTCCTTGGAAGAGAGAATTCAGTCCCTAACTCAGCGAGGTGCTCACTATAGAATTCCAGGACTCCCGTTTTCCAGTCATTTTGCTGGACAAACACCAGCCCATCTAACAGAAGGTCTTCCACTGCCACCACCACCACCGCTGTCTGACAGCAAGGGGCAAGACGAAAACTGCCTGACTTCCATTGTGAAACCAGACCGGGAGACAGAACTTAGCCCTCTGCCAGTTGAGAACATGTTTCGAGATCTTCATGGAAGTAAAAAAGACCCTCTCAGTCCTTCTGATAACTCTGCCATTAAAAGTAAACCTGTGCTGTTTTATAGCGTAGCCAATCTGTCCAACATTGGCAAAAACTGGTTGCTGAAGCCTGCCTAGACACAGTCATTAAACATCACCACCTTGTGTTAAATGTGAACGTTTTCAGTGTATAAATGAATATAACTAATATTGTGCTAAGCATGGGAATTAAGTCTTGAACACGATACGGATAGGGTGTAATAAACACCCTGCAATAAAGCCATTTGCAATGAGTGTGATTATTTTAAAATACCCTATGATTAACGCCACCATAACGATATATGCTACTGGTCAAATACAGCGCTGTAGAATTTTGTGGCGCTAGATAAATATTAATAATAATATACATATAAAATATATAAAACTGCATCTCTCCTGCAAAAATCACATGGTTTCACACTATAGTTGATAAAGTATTCTCTCTATTGTGTTATCCAAGCATTCAGCCAATATAGCATTTTGTTGCTTTATATAAATTATGGTTTTTAAAATAGAAACAAAATCTATAGATTTGGCCATTGAACTAGATGCATATTTAGCCACTTCCTCTGCCATTATCAGGTCTGATGGCCATCTACAAAGGTCCCAGGAGCTCTGCTCCACATATTCAGCCATCATGCCACCATGGACCAGTAGACGTCACAGAATGTAGAATACTGAATAAAAGAACCTCTTTGGTGCTGATCCGGTTGTACAGTAGTTGTATGAATAAGGGGTTCCTCGTGCATTGAATGGCTTAATTCTAAGAACCTGTTTTTCTATTGACTGTCTGCCTTGGGATCCAGCTGCTTGCAGAGAATTCTGGGAAATCAACCAGTGCAGAGTCGGCAAAACAGAAGTTGTGTGAATCAGCCCTATAACCAGTCAAAGCCATGTGTTTAGGATGGAACTGTGGACTTCACTGGTTTCTCGTATGTCCAACAAAGCTAGTCTATAGACGGGGACAGATTATGTATATAGTTCCATGTCAATGAAGGACAACTGAAAAATATTTGACAAGTTCCTGATAATAAAAACAAAAATAAGCTTTCCACCAAAGAAAATAGTAAGCAGTTAGATAACTTACTTTGGTAGCAGTGAATTTTGGATGGTTGTTTTCCTGGCACTATAGTGGCCCCCACTCATCTTGGTGCAGAAGGGGTAAAAAAAAACCTTCTGTCACTTACCTTAGTCCAATGCCAATGTCTGTCAGTGCTGGCTTGGGCCCACCTCCGCTCCTCCCCCACTGATGTCAGCTGGCGGTGGAGGACCTAAAGCACATGTGCGCTCGCATTAGGGCTTCTGATAGGAAAGCATTATACACTGCTTTCCTATGGGGGATTCTGGTAATGCTGGACGCCCTCATGCATAGCATGAGGACGTCCAGCAGCAGGTGACCAAAAGTCGCATAACAAACCGTAAGTCCCTCTAGTTTCTGTCTGGTAGACAGCCACTAGAGGAGGAGTTAACCATAAAGGTAATTGTTGCAGTTAACTAAGAACTGCAAGAATTACTGTTGCAGGATTAAGGGACCTGGGACACTGCACCTAGACAACTTCAATGACCTGAATTTGTCTGGGTGCCTATAGTGTCCCTCTAATTAGGGAGTAGCCAGAGGAGCAGTCAGTGAGACAAGCCAGTATACTCATTAATCCATCCAAAGTCAGGGAGTTTAGAGAAAGAGGAGATGAGTTTCACTTGCTGAGGTCAAAAAGTGGGATATCAGTCCGAAGTGAAGCTTTTGTTTAAAGTGGGTAGATCGGTAGTAAGGGAGGAGTGAGCCTGAGAGAAGAATTGGAACAGCATACAGCACACAGTGTGTAGACATTGATTGTGCAATGACATACAGGTGGTTTGTACCTAAATACCCAAATGTTATGTCCAGCGATATTCTCTTAAAGGACCACTCTAGGCACCCAGACCACTTCAGCTTAATGAAGTGGTCTGGGTGCCAGGTCCAGCTAGGGTTAACCCATTTTTTTATAAACATAGCAGTTTCAGAGAAACTGCTATGTTTATAAATTGGTTAATACAGCCTCTAGTGGCTGTCTCATTGACAGCCGCTAGAGGCACTTGCGTGATTCTCACTGTGAAAATCACAGCGAGAGCACGCCAGCGTCCATAGGAAAGCACTGTAAATTGTAAATGCTTTCCTATGAGACCGGCTGAATGCGCCCGTAGCTCCTGCCACGCATGCCCATTCAGCCGAAGAGGAGGAGAGGAGGAGGATCGGAGGCGGAGAGCTCCCTGCCCGGCGCTGGAGAAAGGTAAGATTTTAACCCCTTCCTCTCCCCAGAGCCCGGCGGGAGGGGGTCCCTGAGGGTGGGGGCACGTTCAGGGCACTATAGTGCCAGGAAAACGAGTATGTTTTCCTGGCACTATAGTGGTCCTTTAAGGGCTCCACACCATATAAAACATGACAAAATGGTTCTTTTTTATTCTCATCAATCAGTGGATCTCTGTGTGGATAGTCCTAGTCACATATCACTTTTAATATATACGTTTTACAAATGGCGAAGAGTAGTAAACTGTGATCAGAATGAATGGCATATTCACAGAAATCTCTCCATGTTCCCATAGCTCCCCTGGCTGTATCTGTCATGATTTGTTTTTCTGTTTCCAACACCTCATTATTAATGGCTGCAGATGCAGTTGCCAGGGTGTCAGTATTCCCCCACGTTGTTTGAGAATTCCTCCATATTTGATTCCAGCCAGATCGGCATTTAGCGATCAGGACCCATCTCTGCTTGTGATGTCATCCCTTCCTGAGTTAAAAGGAAGCTGCCCCTGATCTCAGGTGCTCAATCAATATTGTAATGGTCTCAGGTATCAAACTTATTATTTTATCTGCTGTTGCGTTCTAAATAAATCTTCTCCTGAGAGCATTACACAGGGTGGAAAATTAATCTTCCCAAGATTTTGGGACATTAAAAAAAAATGCCCCCCCTCAACCATGCTTAGTCAGCTACAACCGGATTTGTGAATTCACCTGTTTCCTGTAAAACATCACAATCTGAACCTGGATGTCCTAAAGCTCAACCTTTCTTATTGTCCAGGGCTCTCATTGAATAACAGCATCAGCGAGTGGAGCTGGACCACGTTAAAGTTGTCATTTTGTATTCCCAAGGTTTCTGAAGCTAAATAGGGCAAGATGCCTCATTGGGTTAGTGGTACATGGAACTGAGTGGACAGAGCAGAACAAGTTATAAACTAGTGCCCCATCATTCATAATATTCACCGACCAACACTGGTTATTTGCAGAGAGTTTTAATGTTACATTAATTGCCGTTTCATAATGTGATGGACCGCCCAGTCACTATGAACTAGTGCAGGTCTCACAACCACCACCTTCCCTGAAAAAAACTATTTTCACTGTGCCAACCCCTTCCTTGCTCTTCCTCTCAGCTAGAGAGCCTATACAACTGTTCCAAGTTTCTCAGGGACTAGCAAAAAGCTCTCTAAGGTACAGCACACCTGACCGGGAGCTACCCAGAAACTTCATGAAACTGTGGCTCGGATCGCGAGTGTGCCACGGTCCTGTAAAACTTAATCGAGGTAGCTCTTGGCCCCAGGGCCACTAAGCAGGGTGCTATTTAGAAGGGAGATCGAGAAGGTGACAAGGCAGTCAATGATATCGAGGACTTAAATGAGTTCCATGCACTGGAGTCATCAGAAGTCATCTTTTCTTATGACCGGGACTTTTCACCCAGCTGCCTGGAGCTGTACGCCGGTCGGAGGATAGTCGCGTCCTAGCTAAAACTTTCTCTTCAAATTACTTGGGCTAGACACCTCTGATCTGAGCGATTATTGGAGGAGAGCTTCACTGGAGTAGCAAATGTTTGGGGATACTATGCGGGAAAGTTATGTTTTCGGTTAGCTGTGTGTTAGGTGCCCTGGTGTCTTGACGCTAATTGAATTATCTTACTGTGACTAAGTTATCTCCCAGACACCAGGGCACCAGGATTGTGCAATGCATTGTGTTTATGATGATCCACTGTTGGAGACAGTTGTATAAAAATCCGCTTGTCATCAATAAAGTGTCTGTTTTACCTGGAATCAAGTCTCGGCTGATGATTACGAAGGAGAGCTATAATCATTCTGGGGCTTTCACAGAATGGAAAGGGAATCTCTGGCAGCAATAGAAGAGGGCTGTCACACATGGAACTTAAAAATATTGTCCTCCTAAGGAGCATGAACGTTGGATGAGTAATCCAAATCTGCATTTGGAGGAGAGGATTTGCGAAAGCATAAATAGGCCTTTATTTAATAGGCTTTCCAAATGATTCAATACTGTAAGAAAAAAATTCCAATTGATTTGTCTACAGAAGTCATAGTTAAAGCAAATAAAAAATAATTTGAAAAGCTTATTAAATCTTCCTCATGTTCTTTTACAAAGATATTCAAGATATAATTGAAAGCATGTTATTTCCCATGCCCCTGGTTATGAAGAAAATCCATATATCACAAGAAAAAATATTAAAAAATGATAGACAAGTTTTCTTTTTTACCATTATTTTCTGAATTTCTAATCTAATATTTCTACAGTTTCGTTTGCAAACTTTAGAAAGGACATAAAATGTCAAACTGTCACAACAACCATTTAAAAAAAACAAATACAAATCTTCAGAATGTAGAATGCTGAGAAATGTTGGATCATCGTGTGAACAGAAGGCCAGGACAGTTGAAGAAGAACAAAAAACATGTTGTGAATAGAGGCGCCCATGATAACATAAAGAAATTTGTTTTTTTGTTGCAAAGATTTAGGATTCTAGATATCTGGGAAATTGGAATTAGAAGCAGGTTATTTGATAAGGTAATGGGCAAAATTAATGTATATCAAAGGGAAAGATATTGTCGGGATGTGACAGTTTGCTTCATGAAGCTAATTACCGAAGACAGGTTCATCTACTTCAAAAGACCACTGAGAAGACGTAGCTCTGCACCGTCATGGATCAATGACCCCAAGTAGGTTAGATTTTGAGAACAAAAGAAAATTGTCCTAATTAGGACATGCTGGTTATCTCTGCTTCTTCAGACATTTTTACTCCTACGTCAACTAGCTTGATACAAAATTGAAAAAGGCAGATGGAGCGATCCAA